AAAAATTCTCCAGCTATTAATATTATAATTATTAATAATATATATAATAAAAATAATATATTACAATTATTAATCCATCTCCATGCCCAATCATCGCAACGGTGAAAATTCCTCCGACATACGCGAAAGCTACAAAGCTTTGGAGTAGCCATCTACTCCAGAGTCTATGCGTCCATAACAATAGACTCTTTGTGCAGCAGGCAGGTATGCGTGCCGCACATGTCTCAGTACGGGAGCGAGGCATTTCATTTAAAAGGGGCACGTGGCCACTGTGACTCTTATTAAACGTGGATTCACGGCAATATTGCAGCCATGATATTTATGCACATAAAATCAGACAGTTGACCGATGCAGGACGTCATATTGCGACTTGCCATGCTATATGTATACGATATATGGTACATAGTATACAGTACATGGATGCATTTTTTTACATAGCAGAATGGAAGAAAAATGGCTGCACGACGCAATATGAATTTTTTGTTGAATAATAGGATTCATAAAAAAATTTTTATCTGAAAGAAGACTATATTTTTTATAATAACTATAATATATTTTTATAATAACGAGCGATAACAATAGCGCAATCAAATTCAAACCCTTAGGAATCAGCAGGAATAATTCCGATGCTCTTATAACAGCAGGAGGTTCACACGTGGTAGATATTCCGTAAGAAAATTATGCGAATCCCATACGAGGTCGGAAGGGATTGCCAATCGTCCGTAATCGTAGACTTGCGAGAATCGAGAATCTCCATGAAATTGTCCCCTTCGTATCCGTCTATCTAATACCCACCACTTGCACGTAGATGCTCCGCTGCCATCCTGGCGAAAACGATTTCCGTCGGGCAGATTCGTTATGCCGGAGAATCGGGTTGGCAGAATGAGGTTAGGTTAGGCTACTGGAGATTGGAGGACAATTTGACGTTTAGGTTTTTTTTTTTAACGAAAAAACGGAAACCATTCTTCACCGAATATACCTAACTCGTTCTCTGTAAATACAATTTATTTTTTGCTCGCTATTGCTCCGATCGCTCGATTATCCTTTTTTTGTCTTTTTTTTCTCTTTCTATCTATACAATTACACGTCAATTATCCCTGTGTCCTCTATCTCTGTGTTCTCTACTGCGGCACTGCTCAGTAATTTTTTACCGTCTCTCGCGTCTCGTATCTGCAATTTTCACGGAGATACGATTTTTTTCGTCACTGGAAACATTTGAATCGTGACGTTTTCCCGCTCTTCTAATATTTACTCGTCAGTACGTTTACTGAGTTTATCGCTGTGTAAGCAGCGTATATTAAATATATATGTATGGAGTAAATTTAACACTGTGTACACAATTCTTTCAATGCAGCGATACAGAACAAATTTATTGCGTTTTCTTTATCCGTTGTGCCACTGGTAGCGGTAATGAAAAAAAACAGATACGACAGGTTTTACAGGTAGATAAAACAATGTAAAAAAAATGGAACAATTGATATTTGTAAATAATTTTAATAGTTTTACCACTTCAGATATTCTCTCTATATTGGGAAATAAATTTATTTAAAAAAAGATGATGACCCAAGACGAAAAGAATTTTTCGTTAAAAATTATCATAAAACTCAAATGCTGTTTTTACCGTGGTCACGATACAATTTTGGAAAATCGCTTGTTGTCTCACGGATACTTCAGTTTTACGGTAATTTTAAACAAAAACTTCTCTTTCTGCATCTATATTACGTAGAAAATATTTTGGTTAAAGTTGCATGCAAAATATATTCGTTTTTACAATTTTTGTATGGTAACGCTGAAATGGAATTCCAGAAAATTTTAAAATACATTGAAAAATTTGTATATTGAATATGTGAATATTTGTAGTCTATTAGGGATTACATTATACATTGCAAAAAGGAACTATCCCTTAAGTCATTTTTCTTCTTTCACTGTGAATTACAAAATACAATGTAAAAATTTATATTAGGTCAATTAGCAATTCCTGAATAGAGATAGCAGCGATTAAAGGGTCAATTAGGATAAATGGACAAGGATCTAAAACATGTCAAATATCATTCCAAAAGAGTTATTGATATCACTAATTTTTACAGACTGCTGACTAGGCATAAAATAGAGAAGTTCAGCATATAAAAGCCAATGTATCAGCAGGAAAAATATGCTTCATTAAGTGCGATGTCCACGATCGTAACTTGATGTCTTCAGACAGCTAAAACTTCATTGCACAGCAACTCGTTTTCATATACGACAAAACATCGATACTCAACTGCTAGAACACGCAAACAATTGTGTCCTTTGAATATTGCCAAGTAAGCGAAAGTTACAAAATTTCTATCATGAATATTGTAAAAATTGATCCAAACGCATAAACGCACGATAGACATATACGAACCGTATATTTTTACCATGCTAAGTAAATTTTAGCTCATGTTAGTCTAAAAACGTAACACAATGTAACATCGAATAATAAAATATTCATAAAATCACCATGTTTTATGATTAAATATAAAGTACCGATCAAATTATAAAAATATTGCCCTTACAATCTTAATATCAGTCTGGTCCCACGTTACACAAATTTTATTACAATTTTTTCTTAAAAAATTTCTTTCCATATAGGAATAGAATCGTTTTACCTCAGTTTTCAATTACTATTGACATAGATATTCTTGCACCTGCAATACTGGACATTTCTAGCGTATCGCTTGCAATCTCGTTTCCATATATACGATAATAGGTTAGCCGATAATTCAGTCTAAAACCCAACTGAAATTCTCTAAAATATAAATTCTTTGTCGAAATCCTAGTCTGTCCAAGTGAAGACGAGTGAAACTGAACGACCCACATGTGTTATATGTATAGCCGAATCTTTTGCATTGCCACATATCGTGTGCAAAATGTGATTTGTAGGTCCCGGTACGTCGGAGGACGTACCGTTTAGCTATTCCGATATCCGCTGACGTATTCACGATCAAATTCGACATGTACATTTTAACACGAGAAAATAACTCGAATATCTATCTACATATATTGTATATGTATATACACAGAATTCATTGATACACAAAGAAAAAAAATTTTTTTTAATAGTAACAAAGTGAAAAATTGGGACATTCGTAAAACCGAAAAACCAAAAACAAATCCGAAACCAATTGTTAGTGAATAAGTCAAATCTCGGCGTACGGTGGGGGGTGCATATCAATTTTTCATATTACTCCTATCGAATGGTCAATATGTATCCATTGACGTGAAATGAAAAAAAAAATAAATAAATAAAGAACAAAAGCAAAAAAACTATGCAAGCTTTTTTTTACCCATCGAGAATAACACACTGGCCAAAATCGAAATACCGCCGCCCTTTTGCGAATAGGGCGGACAGATTTAATCGAAAAATATAAACCGTTCGAGCTCCTCTGTTTCCTTTATTGGATGCCAATAGTAGCTGGAGAATCTTTTCCGTCCTGGCAGCTTCCAGCATCCCTTTACCTAGTCCCGCCCTATTTCGTTCCCTTAGCACGACATTCGTCCGGACTCACCCCTCATTCCCACCACCCTTCCATTCGTTTCTATATATCTATATATAGCTCTATATTCACCTATCCTTTCTCTCACCCCCTTATTCCTCGTATATCTACAATTTCACCCACTCTCAACCCTATATACTCGTGGTCCACCGTTATCTACATATATATACAGGTTCTTTCAATTATCGGAGATTCACGGAATGGCGTTCGCGCATCGAGAAAAGCCACCGACGCAGAAATCGAATCTGTTGGGCTTGTTACGTGCAACCGGGTGAATAATACCGGACCCGAGTACGTGGGGCTCCTTCCCGTCCGGATAACGGATCCCCATGCCTGATGACAATGAGAATTTTTTCCGGGATCTCGGTCTCATTAAGTCCATCAGTCGCGTCCTCCTCGATCTCGAATAAGTGGCTGTATAATATCTAAATGAATATAACCATACGTATTATACGCATGATTCAGCCCTGCCGTATGAAGATGCGTTTTCATATAGCGTTAATACGACATAATGGACCACCCAAATAAAGATATACTATCGCGGGACGAAAAGTAAGTCCGATAAGTAAACGTAATTTTGGGAGATAACGTTCAATCAGTTGTGTTCCTTATCTAAACTTTTTTGCCGTGGCTGCTATCGTCGCAGTTTGTCGCAGCACGTTACTGTCGATGAGTCCGTTTTTATTTTTATCACGCGACTTTGTCGCCCGTTGCGTTATGTGATTTTAACGTGTGATCGCTAAAAAGTAGAACAATTGTGTGGGTGTTGAGTGCGTCTTAAGAAATTAGCATAATATTCTTGGAGAAATTTAACAGCAATTTTCTGTGGATTTGCTGGATTTATATGAAAGACGGTACACCTCTTTGAATACAATAGTCATGGAGTGGTAAAGGTGAAAGTGCAAGAGGTACCTGACGACGTTGAACGTCGACGGAGATTTCCTGTAATCAGACATTCATTGTCAGCGGCACAAGTGGCATTGAATCGCGTGCCGTTGATACTTTGAGAATATTGAATATTTTATTCGACATGACCGAGAATAACGGCATTAATAATAGTTGCATTGGTAAGAGACGATATAATGGGATACTTTATATTCGTAGATCAAAGTAATCATAAAGGACTCATATTACGGTATAGAATTATAAAACCGCATTAGCCATTACATTGGTATTTATGAACCTTGGCGGTATCCACTCTCGAGATACAAGGCTGCCTTATACACGGGGGTCATATAGTAAGATACTTCAGCAGACACATTGGCGGTATCCAATAATATTTTAGAACGCTTTACGGCACTCTTCCAATTTCCTAGGAAGGAGTCTAGAAGGTAAGGAAAGAGCGCAGAATGGTTATCGAGAAAGGTATAAAAATTCGTTGAAGTCGAGTCAAAATGATTCTGAGTAGTACTGACAGGAGAATATGTATGTATATGTACGTACATATAGACGAGAGAGAAATAGAGTGGAAAATACAGAAAGCCAAAAAGAAAAACAAATAATACCATCTCCATGGAATCACCTAATGGAGTCCGATAATTAATACCTGCAAATTGAAGATGGCATATCAACAAGAGTCAATACGAATATTCACATAGTGAGGTTGAGTTATATCAGTCAGAGAGTAATAATCATTGCACACGGATAGCCAGTACGTCACAGATCGTCGAGCAGTCGAGTACTCGATGCGTTGCGGAAGTCTAGTTCTTTTGCCATACAGTGGATTTCAATAGCAGGCGATCCCGGTGGTGAACGTATTTAACAGTATAGCAGCGAACGACTAGGGTATAATGCCAACGCACTGTCGTTGTGCCAACAGCTCTAATTCGTATATCCATCTATAAACAAAAATAAATCCTAATCTAGCTCCTGCACTTCACGAAGATTCTCCATAGATGACGTATCGTGTACTTCTCGAAAGATATTTAGACGTTGAATCTTGAAGTTGAGAAGATTGTTTTTTCGTACCGTCTAGTTCGTCGTTGTGAGTACGGAGTAAAAAATGACTGTGGAATAATAGAGTGGCTGTGTAAATACATATAGCAAAACGTATAGCGCAGTAAGAGAGTAAAGTTCAGGAAATGTGTGCCGTACAGTCCTGATGAATATCTTTCATGTTACAATGCTATGAAAATGTGCGCGGACTCCGTTGTATCCCTGCTGTCCGTCGAACGTCGCCCGAAGAGAGCTTTTGCGAGTTTCTAGAAAGTGGCAGGGTAATATCCAGGCAAGGTATGGCGGACTGAAAAAAGTTTTATGATCGCGACGAGAGGGAGACTTTGCAAGAGCCGCGCGTTACACGGCTCATTTGCTTGGGAATCCGGATACGCCCTTGTGAACACGATGCCAGCTCGTATTTTCTCTTTTTTTTACTCATTTCTTTTCATACTCCGGTGTATACCTCTCTCTCTCTCTCTCTCTCTCTCTCTCTCTCTCTCTCTCTCTCTCGCTCTCTCTCTCGCTCTCGTAGAATAAAAGCTGTCCCATCATCCATCTATCTTTCTCTTCCTCTCTTTTACAAGCATGCGTAACCTAACCTGACATAACCTATCTAAGCATGTTAATCGCGGACTCTCAACGTGTGAGGGCGACGCTGCAGCATGAATTTGGCCGTCGCGACGGTAGATCGAAGTGCGTCTTAACGTGAGTATTCCTTTTAGAGAGCTTTACAAGCTTTAACGTACCTCGTAGTTTTGATGTTTTCATAAAAGCCAATGCCACAGCTCGCTCCCTGGCTAAGGAACGCTTTACGAGACTTCCTACTCTTACTGCTTCACGGAAAACTCTTTTAGGTTTGGTTCTTGCGTAGGCATCGAGTCTCTTTCTATACGCGTACATATACGAAGAATATCGTAAAGTAAAATAAAAGTGGCGATTGTCGGCTGGTAAAAAGGTTGCGAAGCTTATTCTTTTATACTTAGAAAGGTGGCTTCATCTACGTGTGCTCGACGCTGCTTTTTTCGGCGAAGAATAGCGAATGGAGGGTTGGTTAAAGCGTGTCTAAGGAAACCGATTGTCGAAGGAATAAAAGCGCCGGCCGAATCGTGAATCTCTTGTTATTTCCTGTGAAAATATCGACTGTCCTCCTTTTATAGAAGAATTCACCGTAGCATATATATAGATACTTGTTGCCGGGTGGAATCTAGTATTTCTCTCGGTGGGATACTACATCGTGCTATATATATATATATATTATACATATATATGGGGTGGCGTTAGAGGAGGTTTGGCTGCTATGAATTTCAGTATATTTCCAAGCGACGTAAAGGGGCGATACGATATCGGCCATTATCGAAAGGCATGGCCCCTCATGTTATTCAAATTCGTAGATAAATCAAACCTTCCGTTAGTGGGATACCGAGACGATTCTACGTATTTTCCTTATGCGCTACTCTGTGCGCTGTATAACATTATACCGGGATTATACTGTGCCAATGTTAAGGATAAAGAAGTGCGCATATAGGTGCATGAGAATCGACGTCTGAAAATCGAAGAATAATGCAGCCATATTTTAGGATACCTGAATACACGCGATAATTCTACCAGCGCCTCGTTAGGGAGCCACCGCGATCGATAACAGCTTTATTAGTGTTCCTTAGCCGACAAACTGTTTCTTATGAGTCATACCAATAACGGTTTGCCTTAGTACCAAAATAAAAGAGTACTCTGCGCCTCGTGAAGAGTTTCTCAATGGCTTCGGTAATTTAACTAACCCGGTTAATAACTTTGGAATGTCCCTTTTCAAGTAGGGAAATACTTTTCTGGATTTCTCCTTGAGCTTACATATATAAGTATACAGCCGCTACAAAAAAGTACATATATGATCTTTACACCTGTTGCAATTGTACCGCTTACTTTTGCAGTCGTACCGAAAATCCGTTTTCAATATTCAATTTTGTGTGTTTAAAATTTAAAAGATAGTTCCTTTTTCTAGAGTATGTTATCGTACGTGTACGCGTGTCCGAACAGTTTATCGAAAACAGTTTATCGAAAATTTTTTTATCGAAAGGACCTTTGATCGGAAAGGACGTTTTATCGAATAACGTTTTATCGAAAGGAACGTTTTTTTGCGATAGGCTTAGAAATTGTTTGGTCAGGTTAGGTTAGGACGGAATTCAATGTTGCACTGTAAAGTGTGTTTAGTTAAAAATATAAAACGTCGGTGAACGAGCGCAGCGAACGAGTCCGACCGCATTCAAGTTTACAATATCGACGTCAAAATAAATAATTGAAAAACATGTAGTTTCTTTCGGCTAAATGTCGAAATAATATGTACGTAACTGAGGTTCCTACTAAAATCGCCGTGGGACTGAATTTTATTGAAAACTGTCTTGAATTATTACGACAATTTCAATCTTGTGTACAACTTACGAACTGCAGTAGGTGGAAACAAGCTGTCGCGCAATATTGGATGTTGCGTCTTGTATGCATCGCTTGTAATTAGCAAGTGGCAAGAAGCTAAGAGGAAAGCAGTAAGAAAGGAGCACACGAGCTGATCTTGACTCGCCTCCACAGCGCCAGCTCACGTTTTCCCCTTGTGAGACGTTTGTAAACGTTGCGCAAGTTATGCCAGGCGTCGAAATGCACTTGAGTAATTCTCTCCGTCCTCCTCTTCTCTTTTTCAAGTCTCTCTTCCTCTCGCTCGCGTTATCTCACCGCGCAGTCGACTAGTAGAGTCTTGTAGATCGCGATATCGCCGCTTGAAAACGAGCCAATCTTCCTCTGAGGTCGAGTCACTTCGCACAGTGTAGTGGAAAACTGCAGTATTAAAGGAGCATTCAATGGCTGTTTGAATATCTCATTTTATACAGAAATTCTTACAATATCTCGTATCGCTGTAATGACCCATCCGTGATGCGGTTTACGTAAAGTACGCACCCAGTGAGGCACGTGAAGGGTTCATAAAATAAAATGCACTGGCGTAGAATGAGGGGAAAAAGCTGTGTTAAGCTGATACGTACATGCCGGATAGGACGAGAGAAAAAATAAGAAGATAAAGGTATAGCAATCAGCCGAATGGGATCTAGAAATAGGAAGAAATATAACACTGCGAAATTTCTCCTTTTGAATTTAGCGGGTCGCGTGCATAACTTCCTCCAGAGGTACCTGACTTCCTGTCGCGTGCTTGATTTGTATGCACTGCATGAAGCTATTATGTTAATTAACAAAGGACAGCTACACGATACAACGCATCGCTACAAACCGCTAGAAACTGGCCGTTGCCTGGTTCTGGCCCGGCTGACGATGATACGTAGCGTCCGGGTGGATGGAAGATAAATTATTGAATTATAGGCTAGTGTTCGCGGAATACACGTTTCTTTGATAATATATCAGCGACTCAATGCATCATGATTTTCTGTTATAGGTTCCAGGATGGATGCCGAAGCCGCACTCTTGGACGCCTCCCCGACCCTGTCCACGATATCCTCTCCCGATCTAATCGACCCCACGTACACGGGTGAAGGATCCCCATATTCCCCAGATTCGCCAATCATGATCACTTCGGTTTATCGAAAGTCTCGAGAGGAGGAGCTCACCCCACCTCCTACCTCGCGACATCCTGAACCTACCAGGAAGGCTAAATTTCGGATACGACCACCCTACCTCATGATATGCATAAGCATAATCGAGGTACTAAAATCGATCCGATATATTCGTCTTGACGAAAATACGTAGACTTAGTGGCGAACCAGAGAATGTGCTTGTAGGTTAGGAATTATTGACAGTTTGGTGAAGACTGGTTACGGGTAAACACAAGCGCAAGGAGTCCAGCAGCCACGTGAACGATTTAGGAGCTTTCTCGCCAAGGGTCGCGTCTTCATCCAAGAACATTATACTCTATATAGGCAATGCTTTCTCCCGCGAGGTAGAAAGTATTCCTAGAAGCGACCAGCCAAAAGTTAAAGCTCGAAATGTGTAAACTTAAAACCGCGAAGCTTAGATGCGCTCCTAATTCACAAGGCAGCGACTGCACGGTCGAAAAGTGCTGGAGAATTTTGCACGCGATAACAGCATAGATAACGAGCTGAGCAAAGGGGAGAAGAGTACGAAGCCAGTGCTCATAAGGGAAAGAGGATACAAGCACGTTAAGCTATATGTATGAAGCATGGTAAGAGAGCGTTAGTATGGATATAAGAGTAGAGAGAGATAAAGTAAAAGGGAGTGTAAGCAAGATGGAGAATAACGTACTTCTCTGGAAACATTCTCCAGACCAACAGAGAAATAGATGTTATGTGCACCACGGGAGCTTAACGTAATAAAAGCATAAATGTTAAGGTAAGACAAGCCAGCGAGAGGGAGAGGGAGAGAGAGAGAAACTGGCTGTACTCCTGGACTACTCCTCAGCACCCTTGTGTTTGCTACCAGCCATAAAAACATACCTATACATCCTCATAAACATTATCCCAGGTGTACAGGAACTATTATACGAATAGAACTGGCATTGAGAATCGATCGTTCTCTCCGGATTTCATAAAGATTATTATATCTGTATACTTTTTGGTATCTATGCCTGTTTTTTTTTCCTTTCTCAAGTAGGATAGATTGGCTTTTTCTCTGCTGCAGATAACCATTCACTGCCTCGGGGATGAGACCACCTTACGAAGATGGCTCGTCTACGATCCACGACAACGTGTTCAAGGATGGAGGTTCGCCTCGTACATGCTTCTCCACTCGAACGCACTTCACCTAGCACTCAACGTGGTCATTCAGCTCGTACTGGCTACGCCACTGGAGGTGAGCTAAGCAAGAGGCCAATCCTTGCTCGGATTTCCCAAAGCTTCTTCCTGTAGTATACCCACCCTTGGCCATCGTCCTGCTTCTGCGAAGGGTGCGAAAACGATCGTCCAGATAATGCATTTCTATTAGATCGTCCGGGATAGGCTCTCTTTCATCCCTTTTACTCTGATTTTCCTTTTTAGCTCACTCCTTTGGTACATCCCTCTCTCCCGGAACTTTTTCTTCCTTCGTCCCATGTTATCCTAAACCATGGAGTACACCTTTGACTATCGGACATCTGGTGCGACCACCCTTCTCTTGCCTAGTCGAAATACGATAGTCTTTTCACAAATACAAGAAATTTCGCCGAAATGAGATTAACGGGGTCGTTTAGAATCTTCGACCGATCTTTCCTCCCTGATTAACGTTAAGCACCGTTTCCCAGCGGCCGGCGGAAGTGCGGTACGCTCGGGAGTCGGCTCTGGTGGGAATCGAGAGGAATAAATTCTCAGAGCGATATAGGTGTGGAAGTTGGAGGGAATAATTCATTGGAAGAGCGAGTCTGAGGGGAGAAATCTCTGATCGCAGGTGGAACAGGGACGGATGGGGGTGGCTACCATATATCTCGGTGGTGGAGTTTGCGGGGCACTAGGAGCATCTTTACTTCAACCGAGTGTTTACTTGGTGGGCGCATCCGCTGGCGTATATGCACTCCTCACCAGTCATCTCGCTCATCTTTATCTCGTGAGTTCTTTGGATGCAATATTTCGTCCCTACTAAAATGCACGTGTCGATCGATCTGTCATTCTTCATATTATGGACTCTTTGGTTATAGTGTCACGGAGAGATACGTTACGCAGGATGGAGACTCTGTGCTGTCTTACTCTTAGCCGGCGCTGACATTGCTTCTCTGCCTGTTCCTGCCCTACTGGGATGCGGAAGGGTTGGATGGGCTGCGCATGTGGCTGGTGCACTAGCAGGTCCTCTACTGGGACTCGCTGTCTTCCCTAATCAAAGTAAGAAGGATGCTCGTGGAAGACATTTCGTCAGATTCGTCAGGTTAATCTCGGCCATCAGTATCACGCTTCTCATTGTCGGTGCGATCCTGGGTAATATTTACCTGATCGCTCTACCCCAACTGAGAAAGCCATCCTGACAAAGGATTGAACTTCTCGTGAAATTTTGCAAGAAGTCCTTTCTCATAGTCAAGATACGAGAAGCTGCTGATAAAATCTTTGAGTAAGGAACCTTACGGTACATCCGGTACACAACCTTGTGCAACGGCCGCGTTCCGGGATTTAGCTGGACTTCTTCGCGCGATTCGTTCACGAGGAAAAGAGACGTCGTAACGGGTCCTGTGATCTTCGGGTACCTAACCTAACCTACTTTCCTGAGGTACGAACTGGCATAAACGCCAACGACTCGGGTCTTACGATTAAATCGTGTGCCAATTCGAGTTTACTATTGTGTGCCATCTTAAGGAACCTCGTAGGAGATCTGAAATTTGAAAATCGAATGGAAGGAGCTTTGTATTTATCTGAAGAATAACGCATGTATAGAATTCGGTAAATTGGGATACTTTTGGATTTGAACAATTTCTGCGTGTCAACCAAAAGTGTTGTTTTTTCTCTCTTCTTTTTATGCATCCGGTACGCGTAAGAGACGTGCATACAATTGCATATAGGTATATATAAGTATATAAGACGGAATGCGAAGGATGAAAAAAAATGTTTCAAAGACGTGACAAGTTGTTGTTGTCGCGAAATTTTGTGATTAACTGTACACTCGTTAGTAGGACAATTTCTATTTTCTATGGTCTTGTCACACTGTAGCTATTTTACAGTGCACTTTATTAGACGCGATCTAGACGACATTTAAGCCAAATGTAAAATACCCATTTTCTATAGATTACGCGCGAACTCTTTAACAATTATATTCCGATGATTCGCAAGATTACTCGTTCATCCAAATCAACCTTCACGAGGAATTAATTAAATGCATTGTAAAAATCGTTAAAAAATTACTTCGGGATTCTCATTATAAATCCTTTGTATAGAGCAATGGACTAAGAGACTTTCCAACGACTAAACGCTGCCATCTGCGAAACGGTAGATACTAAACTATAGTAAATAGTCTTATACCCGCAAAATGTGTTCCCCTCCCTGCCCCTAAAAAAATACAAGTGAACGTACCATACCTAAATTATTTATCGATTATATAATAAACTGGCTGTGATTATGTTTAGTCTTATTGTCAACACCATTATTGTACATAGTTATAATACTGCGATCTTACACGGAATAATATACCAACAAGAAAGAAAAAAAAAGAATCTGTACCTCCATTGTGTATCGAAACAATCAATTACGTGCAATAATAATAAAGAGATCGATCTACGATCCTATAAGGTTAAGGTTGGCTCACCTCAACTTCCCCTCGTGAACTCCTCGAATCTGCAAGACCCCTTTCTTCCACTTCGAATGAGTCCTCGACTCGCGCCATTTCACACGAGAAACACTCGGTGTCGATTCGAATTGCCGAACTTTTACGAGAGTCAAGCTTTACCCCGCGCCGAGCGCCTCCGTACACACCGAATCATTTCTTCGCTACTCGAAGCTAAGGTTAAGAGAATACAGTGATAGCCACCCTCTGCAAACTCACCGCCAGATGTCACAATTAAAGAAGAATTCTAGGGCGAATCGTTCAACCGAAAGGATGATACTTCGAATGGACGTTATGAAGAAATTTGCCGCGGGTCGAATTTACCGAGTTCTTTTTATAGTCCAAATGTAATTGCTGAAGATAAAGCAAGGGGAATTCTCCGAATCAGTATATAAGCGTACAAAGGCGCCTTCTTGTCTGATAAAGGCTCAGTGGGAAGATTCAAGTTAATAAGATCTCGATCTTCTTGAAGCGAAAAAGTCCCGTTTTCGTATCGACTATAGACAGAGAGAGAGAGAGAGAGAGAGAGAGAGAGAGAGAGAAGGAAAGAAGAGATAGCGAGAGAATAAGCACAACTCACTTTCCCAAGAACCAAAGAGAGATGGCGTAACCAGGATGGCATAACTGGCCGCTTAAAAAGATATTATAAACGTTTATTATCGAACTTATAATACAAGCCTCTATGCGGCACTCAGGGGCGTGGGCTTTAAGCTTACCTTATCTGAATTAAGGCTCTCTGAAAAGGACTATACCGAACTGTGCTGAATCCATTGTGAAGGGTAAAAGTCGACCCGGTGTAGCATCGCCGTCCTTTTATTTTTCTCTCTTTGTACGAGTCGCAACTGCGGCGCTCTGCAGTCTTCAAAAGAAAAAGGGAAAAAACTTGTACCGCCTTAAGGGCTCCGGAATTTCTCATTTGCCGAGATATGCACCTTGATCTTGTAAAACAAATAACTGTAATGCTTGCACAGAGATTCTGTGGCTTCTAGGCTCGGATCACATTGTAATACAAACGGTCGTATTCTCTGGGTCTCTGCGCATGCGCACACAATAATATCATAACCGTTCTGCTATGGAAAAATACTTTAAGCCAATATTACTAGGGTTGATACATGCATATAATATATCACATATAATATCTATTTTACATATACTCATATCATCATCATAACTTACATATAAGCTGTTTCTCTATGCAAAGGCATCCTGACTGATAAATTCAGATACTAGGTTATCGTCTATTTTCGAATTTACTTTATAGCACTGTGCGTACTAGGCGCATTGTGGACCAGCTCTAATGGACGAATTCGATTAGCTACGTAAAGTTGATTACTATTGAGATCATTCTTACGGCTTAACTATCGCTAAAATGTATTTATCTCTAACTCGCGAACTCCGTTCCGACTCTCGCTCCCCTGCAGCTGCAATAGAACCCAATGTGTATATAGATATATCTTGTAAACAATTTCTTCCACTTCAGCCGGTGTATTGCCGTTTACTCGGAAATACAGAGTACACCAATCGTAAGGACAACTTGAAAACAACTGTAGGATATCGAACTCCACTGAGCTCGGATCCGTAACTTCTCCTCTCTTAAACTTTAACGAGAAATGATAGTAAGGACCTACCATGGCAAGTCGGGCATCATCGAGACTTTTGTCCCTCTTGGTGTCATGGTATAGTATAGTATCGGTACGAGGATAGATCAGCAACCTAATTCTTCACATTGAACCCCAATCTCCGTACATCTACATTCCAAACATGGACCTGATAATTCCGTTATGATCCTACCGACCCGATACATTCTCCCATAAATGTTACAACCCGCCAGTTTCAGCAGACTAGCCACAGCTAGGGGCACATCGTTATCAAGGATATTTATCGAGGATGAGCTTGTTGGTAGTTTCATCGTCTTTTCCGGCATTAACGTAGTCGATGTTGTCCCCGTCGTTCTCGCCGCTGTTGTTGTCATGATCTTCCTCGTTGACGGCGGAAGGGTTGTAGATCTCGTTGTGAACGGAGCCTTTATGGACACGGAAGTGGCGGGAGGTTTGGTGGGCGATGATGAGGATATAAAATCCTCAGGATGTTTCGTGGTTGACATTTTCGGGACTTTCGTCGTTGTCGTGCCGGAAAACAGTAAGTCTAATACACTGTCGAATGAAAAAATCGATGCGTCTTCTTCGTCCTGGTGTGGTAATAGTGTTTCCGTTGACGTTATGGACAACGTTGATAAATCTGGATTGGACATATTTTCATTGATCAGTATCTTGTGATCCGTTGGATGGACGATCTTTGAATTAGACAAGGGTCCACTCTCTTTAGTGTCGGTAACATTGACAAGGATCATTGAATGATTCTGATCGATACTTCCTGTAGTCACTTCAGGTGTACTGTAGTCCAATCTACTGAGAGTATGATTATTGTAGGTAAATCCTGAAGTCCTGATACCAGAATCTAAAGTAGAATCCTCCTTCGTAGAATCGTTTGGACCATATTGAATTGTTCCAGAGCTCTCGGGAACAGTAGGAAAGTCATAAGCGTCTTTGTTCGAAGTAAGTAAACTTGGAGTATCCTCTTCGCGATGATATTCATAAGATTGTCCATGAACCAATGGAATTATGCCAATAAAATCTTTATAATGCTGTAATTTATTAGAACCGACATTCTGGACGATTAACTTTTGAGAAGTTGTCGTTGTCATCGGCGTTGTCGGTCTAGGCGTCGTTATACCATGTTCCACCAGGTATGGGATCATATCTTCTATGAGGGACGGCAAATCCGGCGCTGGTTCGGTCTTTATGACGTCTCTGAAGGGATCTGGAGATACGATACCGTCGACGAACGTTATCGGCTGCCGTTGCGAAGGTGCCGTCGCGTCGGCGCGGTCCAGAACCACTGTTGGGGACTCGTCAGCATCGACTGAAAAGATATACGGTTAGTGACATGTGCCGTCCAGTCGCCGCACTCTTTTTACGTGCCATTATACGAGAATTGCATTTATTCGTAGGACTCCTGTATAAGGCAACGACTCAATTTATCCTAACGTACTACTGCCAGGATGGCGTTTCGGCCCTTAATGCCAAGTGAGACGGGATCCTTGTGTTACCCAGAAATTTATATGGGTCGGTGGAACGAAAGACCGTTACCACTGCCCTTATTTTCAGAATCGCTAGCTTATTTATACTGAATGAATTTCAAGTAGTTCTCAAATAACAATGTTAAGCCACCTGGGGAATACACGCCTAAGTTCTATCGGCCAAATGTGAAGTTTAAAAAGAAAATAGAAAATCAAAAGTTTACTTCAACAAATACAGTCCATGATATAAAATGAAAGATTGAAATCCTGAACAATTTACTGGAGCAGTACATCCGTACTGTACTCGGTATAACAGTGCATGAAATTGGACTCGACGCAAAAGTCAATATGTCGAGGGCAAATTTTCAATACAGCATTATCTTATTCATGGAAATTTAAAACAGTACTTTCCGATTACAAGACAGTCTCTAACATTTACGATTACATCAGTCTGGAATTCTGCTCCCTCTGTCCGTACCCTTTATCCTATACACTAACTCTTATAGCAGCTTATTAGTTTATTGAAGATGAAACGAAATACCTACCACAAACATTTTTACCGCAGCATTCTTTCTCAACATTGACTCGTCTACAGCCAATCTTCAAAGGTGGACACTTCTCGTCAGAGCACACAACGTCGCCGTAGTAGCAAATGCATATTATACACAGTCCACTGCTCGGCAGAAGAGCGCCATGTTGATACTCCCGATTCTCAAAGAGACAGTCGCTGGCGAGATCTTGAAGATCGAGAGAAGACGAAATAGGTAGGCACGACAATGGAAGAGAATACTGTAAAGTTTTCGATAAAGTGATAGGGAACTGTGCAAGAGACTCACCCTCGTCGTTCTTTCGATGGGGATTTGTTATGGCAGCTGGTAGAACAGTGACTCCTGTACCGATTTCCAAATTGAGATCCGTAGAGTGGTAAGACGGTGGATCGAAGTAAGACGGCTCCCGAGGAACGAAACCTCCTGTAAAGTAAAGGCACCCTAAGACTTTCCTTAAAAACTTTAAGACTTCAAGACGCGAGGCGACTTGTAAGAAAGTTCCTTCTGGGTAGAGTGCGGCTATGTGTGCGTATCTGTATGTTGACATCAGTTGTATGCTGATGTGCTAGGGATCTTTTTTTTCCTCCGCTCCGTCCTCTTTTAAAGAGGAAGAGAGATAACTTCAGCCAGAGCGTTACCTTCTGTCTCTACCGGAGGACTGAAACGGTTCTCCTGGGTGACGATGTCATAGAAGCCCGGTACATCCGTGGGATGTAATTCAGGTGGTACTCCTACGGAACCGGATGGATATCCTGTGACGGTACTGGCGATGTCCTTGTCGTCCTTGACTAGGGCGTCGGCCGCGACAAAGGGTATTATCCTGCGTCGGAATACGAAGCTTCGTCAAGGAACGAGTGCGAACGCTAGAGAATTTTTTTATTAAACTTACCTGACATTTGGTAGGGACGGTGGCAAAGTAGGTTCGCCATAGTCGTATTCGTAATCCTCGCCCTTTTCACGGTGAGTGATATTCAATATGGCCTCGACATCCGGTGGAATTGATCTGACTGGATTTATTGTGACCCCTTGAATGTGCCCCACGGACACGTTCGTCTTAACAGTCACGTTCATGACGAGAATGTCGTCAGGCATGAGTATTGTCGTCGGCAGACTCGTCACAGGACCTTTTATCGATCCCATTTGAATGTTAGAGAACTTCTCCCGGTCTATTGTATGTTCCACGTCCTCGATATTGATTGTTGACGAAGATTCTGTTAACGAGGAGGCGTTAGAAACTGGAATTGTACTTTGCGATAAACTATCTATTATCTTGGTTTCGTCATCCTGCTGCTCCGTAACGGCACCTTCCCGAGGAGTCGACGTAGTAGATTCCACAGTGTCCGAGGACAACGTCGACGGATCTTCCGTTAATCCTACCGTCGAGGGTATCTCGTCTATGGTGGTAGACTCTACGACGGAAGTCGGAGAATTTAGAAGCGACGTACTCGCAGTGTGATGATCTGGTATCGTCCAGGTGGTAGTATCGGAAAATGTACATTCCTGATTCACCGCCATCTGAAACCGACTCAATGTCAACTTCCACCTATCGGTATGCTCTACTAGAGATTTTCGAACCTCGGTTGACGTCTGCGTCGATGTCGATTCAAGAGTGGTAGTATATCTGTCGCTATCAGTTGTCTCCGCTAGGATCTCGTTGTCCATGGTCTCTGTCTCGAGAATCAACGTTATCGAGGAAGCCGTATCGACGGTCGATGATTCCTCGAGACTGATGGTCGTGTCGGTTGAGTTTAATGTCAAACTGTCGTTTGATATACTTAAATTTTTATCCACAATGCGGTGACCCCTTCCTTCAGGAATAGCGTTCGACAGACTGTTATCGATGGGCTAGAGAAAACAAGATAAATAATAAAACAGAGTTACAAAGAAATTTGTCAAACTTCCCGAAACTACGACACTCGCATGATAACGTACAAAGAAATTCGTTTCCTTTCGGAACTTTGCGTAGTCCTTGCTGATGAATGCGTAGGACGCATAATTCTGGGTAGCCTTCACCTCGATGCTTCCACCTCGAAGAAAATAATAGTGAGTACCAGGATAATAAAGCGGAAACGGAAACGTGAAACTCACTGCAATTATAGGTGGACGGACAGCACTGTCCTTCGCGAACAATCGGACTGCAACCCTGAAGTGGCGGAGCGCAAGAGAGGGGAACGCAGCGGACCGCCCCCATGGCACAAAAGCAATTGTCGCAGGGTGCCTTCCAGCCAATTTCTCGTACCATTTCGCCTTCCTCGTAGATTCTCTCGCCGACGCGACATCCTAGGACAACCAACGAACAACAATAAACTCGCAGTTGTTACAGAGCCATAAAGGAATCGTACGATGCACTTACCGTTTCCCGCGAGCGAAGTGATGGTCGTGGACGCATGTGGATCTAACGAATTAAATGGTTAACCACAGAACGATAATCCTCCCTTACCGCCTTCCTCAGCAGTATAACGATACTTACGTGTGCAATTGTAGGCGACGGGACAGCAGGAATGAGGCGCGTAAAGCGGAGTGCATCCAGGTAAGGGGAGAAGACACTTGGGCCTGACGCATCTTCTGCTACCTGATATGCAATAGCAATACTCGCATCTTCTAGCTCCCATCATGGCGGATCCCGGACCATACTTGACGCCCTCGTGGAGGCAACCTGATACAAGAGTATCGATTAGGTATAACTCGTTTGAATTTATTAGAATAATTCAAACGCTTACCGTCGGTTTCCGATTTCTCCCCAGTTCCAGTGCTGATCCTCCTCAGATCGTTATCGGCCTCATCTACAAGTAAATTCCAGCCTCGAAGAATATTCCGTCCTCGTGGAATGTTTATATCGTGTATAAATACAGGTAAGGACTATAGCATTGTGTACTAACTCGACCTCCCGCAGATTATTTCAGCGCAGCAAACCTTCTCCCCAGGCGGTCTGACGCGACAACCTGGAGGTGGCGGATTTGGAAGTCGTGGACAGACCCGCAATCTGCAACGAGGAGAACCCTCGACGCATCTGCACTGCAAACACGGTTCGGATGTATTCACCACGTCCCCTTCGCGATAACGACGGCCCTCGAATCTGCATCCTGAGACAAGCCAATCAAGTGAGATCTACAGTTAACCTCAAAGTTACAGTCGGAATACATTTTCAATAAGGTGTGCATATTACGGGTGTGCACAGGTGTTACGTACACGTAATCAATGAGTTGTATAGTACTATAGGGGACATAAAAAAAATATAACCACGTAGAAAAAAGTAACTGTGAATATAATACTTTCCCAAGTCCCGCATCTGGTTCCCACATTTTCCCGCGTAGAAACCAAATTAATCGTATCCGCTTAGAAAGTCCGATGCGCGCGCAGCTCGTTGCATTTTCATCGAGTAATTAATTGCGCGGGTAAAACGATTTCATACAAAGTGCTCAACAGAGTAAGTACTAGCGGAGCAGCGTGGAGCAAAATTATTAAGTGAAAGCAGAAAGAGAACATTATTTTAAAAGCTAGTCAAATTTTGCCAAAAAAAAATTTCATTGGAACGATATAATTAACTTAGGAGGCCTTAGCTACGATAGCTCATAATTTCGCCTATGGTATTAAAAGTGCACAGTCATGAATTTGGAGTCTGTACACTATCGCCTATTTTGCGTATACGTATACTATAGTATATTATACATATATCCTTTACACTCGTGGCTCATTCAACTCGTTGGACATAACCTAACATAGCAGACATACACTTTATGCGCAAGTATAAAGTAAGTACGCGTGGGCGAAGTAGCATTTATTACGGAGCTCGGTGCGTGCTTTGTTCTCCGACAGAACAAGTACCAAACAGTGAATAGATATTGAATAACGCCCTGTAAAAATATGAGCATGCGGCAAACTTCACGACGAATAATCCAACAGAAAAAAAGTGCCATAAAGTGGACGATCGAAAGAAGCAAAGTCTTTACTTCTTCTTCTTCCTACTTTGTGGCTTTATGCCCTCACGAAGGGCCAAGTGCCAGAAAGTCTTTACGAAGGAAATCAGAAAAACGTCTTAACTGGGATAAATATAATTCATCCGAACGCGTACTGTTTGACGCGCGTACTCGTGTAGAAGGTATGATACGGCGAAACATCCTGACGCTTAAATTAGTGAGGGACAGCTGATTCTTTAGAAAATATAAATGAACGGTTGGTATTTCGACGTTGCAACATATTGTGTACGAGAATTATATACAATCATAATGTCTATTGACATATGATATACAAGACGCGACAGTAGCGCTCTACGTATGTTACGACATTTTTCGAAAGCTAGAGGAGCTTCTCAAGGGTGGGAGTGGAGTTCATCCCTTCTGAGAGTCGAGCCTAAGACATGTTTAATTTTATAACTCATCTACCCAGGTCTCGCGAAAAAGTCAGAAAGACAAAGACTAGGCCTCACTCTCAGATGGTATACATAACCTAAACAGAGCGAAACCACGTGCCTCCTATCTTTCTTCTCTTAAACGCAGGTCAAGACAGTGTACGGATATCCCAGACCCGACGTCTTCGTCGGAACACGTGCACACAAGTACACGAGGATAAATCGTATTTGACGACTCGCGAGTATTAAATATCGCGTGATCGGAGCCGATTAATAACCAGTCAAGTATGCCCTGAAGTTTCTCTGAAACCGTGCCATGTTTTAATTACCACGAAGTGACTCGAAGAGGGCACGAGGATTACCTCGAATTCGATGGTCGTTCGGACAAGCTAATGGGAGGGGGGTACACATATGATAAAAGTATGGATAATAATAATACATGGGTTTTACATTCTGCATAATACAGAGAGTGTAACAGTAAGAGTGGCAAAGGTACGAGAATGAAGTAGGCAGAGAAAGATAGAGAAGATGAAGTAAGGAGTATATGATACGAAGGATTCGATACGCAGAAGGAAGAAGAGGGGTCCTGACAGGACACGAAACTCGTACGGAGAAAAGTACCGTGTCGACTTTTAACGTTAACATCCTCCACCTGGCAACCAGGATCCCGCGCGCAGCATCCGTCATCGAAAACCCAGGGCTTGTTCAAATAAGAGGACGGAGTACCTTGTAATTAATGAATTGCGACTCGCGGAGCAATGCCGCGTGTGTCCTCAAGTTCTGTCCAGCACCATCGGTTCGTTTAATTACTCCCGATTAATTTACTCCCTTCTACTTTAGATCAAACCCCGAGCTCTCGTTTGCCTTATTTTTCCCGTGCTAATTTCCTGTGCATTTACGTAGTTCTTTTGCGTTACTTCCGAGTCCTAGGATAACTCCTCTAGGGCTCTGTCTGGTTTAGGTCGTATTTTCAAAATTCACGATGTGTGAACCACCGTAATCGGCAGTGATCTCATATGGTTGATCGGTAAGATATTTTCTAATTAATCCCATATGCTGCAGTGGGGTTGGAATTTTTGTCTGACTTTTGGATGGTTTTCGAAGGATTGATTGAAAAAACGTAGAACTAATAAAACCAATGGGAGTGAGAAAGGAGGATCGCGAATTCAGACTTCCACGACTTGTTATACAGCCACGGACACTCAATGAGAGGTTCGTTAACCGTGTGATTATCAGGGAGATGGATCGATGCCTCGCGCACGCCCACCGCACGCATATGTATATATTATTTGTTTGCTAAACCGGACTGCCAAATAATCCGAGCGATGTATTGCCATTGGGTAGCCGAATTGGCGAATGTTGGTTCAGCGAATTGAGATTAGAGGTCGTATAGTCGAAGTGATTTCTCATATGGGATATTTGAAAATGATATGAATAGACGGAGCCGTCGACGGCTATTTTGTATATAAGGGATGAATATTCTGTTAGAAGTTTCTTTTCGGGTACGGCGATATCGAGGAGAGGTTGGAAAAGAAAATACCGAGAGAGATACAAGATCCTATGAATATTCTATCGCCGACAGGAATTGCCCGTTAGAAGTGTCCATGTGGATCGATCGGCTCCATTGGTGGTGTCCGGAATCATCGAACTCTATTGATGCGGATGCGGGAGAGAGAGCGAGAGAGAGTGAGATGGGGGGGGGAAGGGAGAGGAAAGATAAAAGAGAATCAAAATAACAGAAAAAAAGACAAAGAAGAGGCGAGAGGAAGACGGAGAAAAAAGTTAGGGCAAGAGAGAAAAAAAGTAAGAGAACGTCGTGAAGGAAGAAGAGAAAGAAGAAGAGGAGCACGGGAAAAGAATTGACGATCGACGCTAGAAATTTATTAGAGGCCAAAGAGCACCGCGTCCGCCGCTTAAGCCCGTTTCACACCGCTACGAGATACCCAAGCCGATAGTAAAGTACAGTCATTTATCTCGACAACGACCTCGTCTCCATAGACGAACTTCGCCTCCCTTCACAAAGATAATACCGCGCTCGCTCCAGTCGGTTGGCAAGGGATGAGATTACGCAAGGAAGGGAAGTAAAGAAAGAGAGGGAAAAAAGGGCGAAAAGAATGAAAAGCAAGAAATAACTTATAAAAAATGTACTACCTTTAGCTCGTTCCACGATATCACCTAGTACAAAAGACATTATGCCACGTACAGTAAATCAATTTATATACAATAAACACAATGGCGCAAAGTGTAAAATGTATTTGCTCAGTTTAAATAATATAACAATAAACATAACTCCGTGTTACATTGTTACGCGCGGCTCGTTCATTGCGGGCCTGTCAAATTTTGTGAGTGTCAATAAAAAGATCGAAAACGAACAAAGAGTCTCGGTCGTTGAGTATCCTGATGGTAATGAAGGTCCGATCCGTAAGGGAATCCCGCTGCGGGTTATTCGAAAAGACTGTCGGGTGTCCAGTTATGGGATCGATCCTGAACACGAAGGATCGATGTACTTTCGAGAAGAGGAAGAATAAGTGATGGCGAAGAAGGTGGGTGGCGAAGACGGAGGAGGTAGAGGTAAGAAAAAGATGAAGGACAAGGATGCTGGAACGGGAGATTAAAACGGAGGGGGTTTCATATTCCGTCTTGGAACCACGGTTCGTGTGACCTCTGACCCCATGGGCGAAGCCCACATTGGTATCCTCGTGGATCCGTTCATGGGAGCCACCATGGTACCGCTATACGCGATCAGGAAGCAATCGCCTCGAGTGCGGATCATCACTGCCAAGATCATTGGTTCTTGTGATTTTATGATCCCTGTGCAATGCAAACGTCATACGTAGTGGGTGTTTATGCGTTCATGGTTATGACTCGAGTAGTACGTAATATATCATGACTTGAAAAAAAAAAAACAGGTAAGCACGGTAGCATAAGGTACGATAGCATTCTGCATTTCTAATTATCGACAATATCGAGAACCATATTTACGACGGATCCTCTTCACGAGAAATCCCAAGAAATTTAAATAATCCAAAGACGCGCGCGCGCCTATAAAAACGCGACGAGTAACCATAAATTTCTCTAATACAGAAGTGTACTTGTTTCGAGATAGAGTAGTTGATGATACTGTTTCGTAAGAAAAACCGGTACGATAAAAATGATGTTCTTTTTTTTTCAATTAATCACAGTCTTAGTATCGGCCCGTACCGTTTGTATGATGTTTGAACGAGTCTCGAAGGCGTCCGTTTAATTTCGCTTTAATAACGCGCCAGTCCAGCAGCATGCGATCCATCTTATCGCGGGCCGCAGTATCCTGTAGGTTTCGTGTAGCGACCATTACGGAGGTACTTTTTGAAGGAACGACACGGCGATGAATGGACCGGAACAGGTTCTGAATCTTATGTAATAATAAATGAGTGACCCTCCGCTCGGGAGTTCGGCTTCACCTGTGGCGCACCTGGTCGCAACTGATGCCCATACATATACCTGTGTCTCTGTAACTTGACTGTGATGCATATGGTTATACGTATATATAATAACTAAAAATGTCTATAATACCGCATATGCATACAAATTATATACGCATTTACCAGCGTGTCTATATGTTATATGTACATGTGTGATAAGTGAATATACATATTGGACCAATACGCAGAACGCTGGGTGCATCACGAAGCAGCAAAATACACGTGGACGTCGCATTAATTATAATGCTAATTAATAATCGCTCCGGCAACGGGCGATGCCGGAATTTCATGACGTCCGATCATTTATATGCCCGCGTATCCACGAAATTATGGATGAGGCAACGAGAGATGGGAACGGTTTTCGTGATCCGCCTGTAATAAGTGAGGGTACGAAAATTTTAACGTTGAAAGTAGCATTTCGAGTTGGGCACTTCCTTAGGGGAGACGATGGATACGATTGGAACCCAGAAAGAGAGAAAGAGAAAGAAATAAAGAAAGAGAGAGAAAGAGACAAATCCTAATTATTCTAATTAGCTCAGGTCGGCCTTCGGACTTACGTGCCTTCGTTATTACTTTAATTATGCATACAATGGTTAATTATACATTTTACCCTGGAGAAATCGAGCTGCTTCAATAGGCGCCACGCTCTTTCGTTAGTCAAGAAATCATGAACGAATTTGTCGAAGCAAAGTTTACGATTGACGAGATTAAAAAATAACTATTTTTTAAACTTGTACGATTATTCTTCTTTCCCTTTTTTAACTGAATCTTTGTAAAAATGTACCACTTCTTATTTATCTTTATACGTACGAGCTACTCGTGTTTTCCTACAATGTAAGGAAATTCCTTGTCGGTATACGCGGAGAATCTGCTTTGTTGAAATCCCTTCATTCCAGATTTATATACATACAAGCTATATACGTCCTACAGTCGCTACTTACTCTTAACCAGGCAAGAGAAACAGACGGCAAAGCGTCAGACACGGGAGACATTAAAGAGATTTCTACGGCGGCGGGTTTCCCACGTTTGTGAGAACGCCCTTGCTGTTTACTCTGGCCGCTATTTGCCTCCTCAGTTAACAGCCTCGATGAGTATCCAGGAGCTGCTCTTCCAGGAAGATCAAGTATCATGAACAATTCCAATTATTCTGCCAAGAAGATGATGTACCCTGGTCCATCGCACAATTGTTAACGAGCAAGTAAGAATTATATTCAAGTAAATAAAGCCAGATACGCCTACAAATTGTAACAATTAAATTACTTGCAAATAAAGTTTTCTACGTTAACGAGCACAACTTTGGTTGTCTGATAGCATTGTCGAGAATAAACGGTGACCCAATGACGAAGCCAGTCTCATACCTTTGCGTCTCTCGCTAACATCGCTAACGTAACGTGAATACAGAATTCGCGTCTAGTTGTGCACTGAAAACGGCACCATTCGCATGTGCACGCGCGTACGTACCAAGCCGATGTTCGCGATGCAGAGAATATCTATTCGTACAACCACGTGCCATTTTCCCGACGTTTCCCGGATTAGCTGGAAGGGAAATAACGAAACGCTACGAGAGATGCCAGACAGCCCGTTCGCTGGCTCGACGTTGGTTGTTTCGAATTTCGTAGACGCGTTCGCATTTTGAATAGAGCGGAGAGGCAGTGAAGTACCTATAGGTACTGTTGGTTATTGTCACTGTTATTATTATTATTATTATTATTATTATTCAAAATACCATCGTTCACAGCAACAGTTACAGCATTACGAAAAGAGATACGAATACAAGATAGAAATGTAACAAAGATATATAGAAAGAACGTAAAACAGGGATGAAGCCTGTATTACAGGAGGGAATTTTCCAATACTGGATGTAAGATTACGCCAAACTACATGACAGTTTCCAATTGGCTACGTGAAAGAGGATTCCGAGTGAAGTGGTGAACCAGTTCATTTGTGTACATTAGTAGGCCGAGCAGGAAGCCTGGTCGTACGTGTAGTACGCACTTGGCATTACGCACGTGACAAACAGAGTTCCGGCGCCTTCTACATCCTTAGGTATTAGGAACCCTCTCGCATCATTCCCGTCTGGAGATTCGTCTAGAGCGAGAGAGAAAGAGGGCAGGTGCGAGAGCGAGAATCCAGAAGACAGTGTTATATCTATATATACAGGTCTATTACGGTAGGCACGTAAAGCTGGTGGGAAGAGTAGAACGAAGGGGCGAAATAAGGGAATAGAGGAAAAAAAGAATAAAAGGAGGGCTCAGCAATTTTGCGAAAGAGTGGTGCGTAGCTACGTGTGTTCCTCAATGTAAAAAGTGCAGGACGATTAGCCCTGAGTCGAGTATCGGAATCGTCTGGCAGTCTCGAGTCCCTCTCATCCTCGTTAAGAGGATCTAAGAGGCCTAAGTCACTCGCATTTTTTAGGAGTACCCCTCAGGCATGGCTTGCTGGCTGACTGGATGGCTGACTGCCTTCCTTCGCTCGCGGAGTCACTCCCTAGAAACCTGGTGGTGGACTCGCATCATCCGCAGGGAAAAACGGCGACATTAGTCAAGCTGGCATTTAGTTAGACGAGGGCGGTAAGAAACTCATTCACGACTACGAGGAGCGACTTCTGTCGTTGTGCCTGGTGGAGGACTCTGCCGCGACTCTCGTGCAATGGAATCGTTTCTACTAGTTTTTCCCAATGGGGGAATTATTATATGTTCTCGGTACAAGTAATTAGGATGGACGGTGAGCACATACCAGGCTGATGCTGAGAGTCGTGACCGATAGAATCTTCATTTTGCTATTCTCTTGTCTTATAATATATGTTTAGCTGGTATACTGCTATACGACACCTGCTGTACTTGTATCTTTACGTATGTAGAGTGTACGGGTGCTTTATGTCTTCTATGAACAATTTACTTGTGTTAAGTTATTGCCTTGTGACGTGTCGATTATGGTGTCGACTCTGATAACTGGAGGGAAAGTACTTTGCTTCCGAAAGGGCTGATCCGTTCGTTGCTTGAATAACGAGGCGTTTGTCTCTGGGATTCTGATTCTGGTGCTATCTTTCGTGCTAAGAGGCGTCTAACTCGACTAATGGTTACTGTGGTTAAGAGACTTTAGAGATAATGGAATAAGGAGACAAGACGCGGATAGATAATAAAGAAAGTACTTTCGAGAATTTCGAAAATCGTTGAATGAACTTTATGCTTATTTTATGTGGGAAGGTACTCATTATCTATAACTATACGTTGTTGGTAATTCGATTACCTAGATCAATTCAAAAAAAGATCTATAATTAAACGGATTTTTATACACCACTGACTATTCGAATACGTTATTTATGAAGTAAAACATGAGAAGGTTACTTCTTAAATTAAAAAAATGGAAGATGTTAGAACGAATCCTTTAACCGATGGGAATTTTACGCGACCGTGGTGATCTTCTAATTTATTTTAATTAGACATCCTCTCTAGTGAGGAAATCGAAACATAACGAATCGTGCCACTGAGAGAGGGCATTCGGATGCTTGTGTACATATAAGAATGACAAGGAGGAAGTATATGGTAGATGTAAACTTTATAATTGCGCCGTACGGCCTACGATTTTTCCACGATAAAACTGAACAATAGATGCCCCCCAACCCTGAATACCTCTTTCGCCTGACAGAATAAGCGAAAACGATATCCAACGCGTTAACTTATTAGAAGACATTGGCAGGTGACTTTTCAGCTCTGAAGTAGGTGCCTAGACGTTACCTCGATGATCGATGAAGTCTCTGCTAATCGATCGATTGTCTTAACGGGAAATTGTCGAACTTGTTATCATGCACCAAGATTGGAAGTTTGCTAATAGCAATTGAGCACAAATACCGTACCCTACTATCCGTACTGTGCTACCATATTATATACAGTACCGTATATATGTTATTGTACTTTTACATAATTAAAAATCTATGTAAGTAGGATACTTATTTGTACGATGTTCGATAAGTCGAAGAAGATCCAATAAACCCATCAGTGTGATACAATAAATAAAACAACAGATTATTATAAAAACGTATAAAATCGCAACGTCAAGGTATCAAACAATAAACTAAACTTGCCTGGTTTTATCTGCTGAGGTTTCCCCTGGACCTTGATGATGCCGGTGATGTCTACGATGAGGACCACGAGGATCCCGAAGACGTACAACATATCCCCAGTGACCATTTTTAAAAGGGGTCTATCCCAATCCTAATCCCTCTCCTAATGGTCTCTCTCCAGAAGAGGATGGTACCGATGTTCTTGAAGTCGCGCAAGACACGGAACGGCCACGGTACCGTCTTCGGATGGTCGCGCGTACGTATGTACCTCGTTCGTTTGGTACCTACGTATGTAAGAAGTAAGGATGGACAGACAGTCGAACCGACCGACCGACGGACGGACGTGCGGGCGTACGCGAGTCAATGAGTGAGTGGTACTCACCCGGAGAAGCCCTCACCTCACCTAACCTAACCTACTCACTTCACCTCGCACACCATCCTTACCTTACTCCCTTCTTCTTCACGGGCGAACGTGCACGTGAGTACACTGTCCCCCCATGCATACGTGTACGGGCTTGAACGTTACAACGTTGATGAACGAAGCAGCAGAATTGTCCACGGTTAATCAGGGTGGATGAACATTGAGGTTGACTGACATTTTATCAAGATCTATCGTGTAGCTCATTCTCATGGCTGCCCAATATGGCACGTGGAGGAAGTCGCTCCGGAGGATTTTAAATGTCAGGTTAAGATTGACGAGATGAAGGAGCTGCAAAATCTGGTGAGGAACTTCGTTAGATAGCTGGAGATGAAGAGAACCGGTAGTTTTGATGTTTGTATATAGATACGTGAAACTTGGATGATGCCTTCGATGATATATGTATATATATATGGTGTGTTGAAGGTAACAACCTATGTTTGTATAAACGAGCATAGCGGAGCACCTGCAGGATCCGATACTGTTTCTACACCTGGGTCCCAGCCATGATCGTAGATCACAGGGACCTAGCCTAACTTTTTGTATTCACGTTGATTTCTGGTAACTTGGGGGACGATATTTTTAGGACTTTGTACGAGTAGATGGGGTATAGTATACTCAGGCTATCATTACCTCCTGGGATACTTAAGAAAATATGTCTCTTGTGATATTGGAAAATGATAGTGACGTCAGGTGTGCTAGAAGAAGAAAGAATACATTAATATACACATAACATCCTCCAATGGGAAAAGCGTGCCGTGGAGAAGACTATCCATCTGAACAGCTGACAAACCTCAGGAAGTGGCTGCACTAGAGTACGTACGTCCATAACGACTTACCTACATAGATCCTCTGCTGGTTTACTCAGCAGGTTAAAAAACTCCAGGAACAGCAGTGAGACGAAGTGCGCAAGTGCCACACGATCGTACTAAAGGTATAAGTATAGGATTTTTATTAAATTATAACCTACAATTTTAGGTAGTCTCGTGACGAACAGTTCTTTAACCTTCACAGACCTGTAGGTAAAATGTGTCCCATTTGTCTACTACCAACATCAGACACACTTACGTCTAGAAGTCTGCAAGGTTTAATGTTTTATTTGGAGCTATGTACTCTACCGATATTCGTATTATAGTAGACTGTGATAATTACCTGGGCGCAGTCGAGGCTATCTACACGGGGACTTGGTAAAATAACAAAATTATAAAGAGCAATGTCGCCCGGTTTCAGACTCAGTGTACAACTTTCGAATTTTACTGGTCGCTCGTTGAGGACGAACGTTTTCGTCGAGTACTTATCGCTTAGGTGTATCTTCGCGGGAAAAGCTTGCGTGAGAGGTTTTTTAATCTCACTTTACTCTCGAGATCTCCCTGTCTTGCTCTCCATTACTTTCTTTTGCTCTCGTTTATTCTCTCGACATTATCACTCTCTCCTTCTCACTCTCTGCGTACTCTACGCCTACACGTGTAACGTGATAAGTTGTGCAAATCAATTAGGGCGATTGCTACCGTTCCTAGATTTCATGAAGATAAGATATTTTAAAAAAAAAGTACCCAATGCCTCTCCAGCTTCGTTGAGACCAGGAATATGTTTAATTTCTACAGGGATATCTCTGATGTATCAACACTCATTTACATGACTGATCTTTTCATTCATTTTTCATTTACCTTTCGGGATCCAAACTACATCATCTTTTATCTTGTTAAAAATTAACCAGTACCACTGGAAATCAGTGTCTACCCTCTTCAATGGATGTACCTAATTATAGTTTCGTTACAAGAGCGAAGAGCTCGTTACGTCATTCAGGCATCACTCATTAATAGCTGCCAACTGCTTTTCAAGTGCAAAAAAAAATGTTTCAAAAGTTTTTAAAAGTTGTAATAAATTTCCAAATAAAACAGAACCAGCAGAATTACAAGAAAAGTTTGCATACCGGTAACAAAAAATTGTTACACAGAAATGGAGAAGGATTCAATCACATAGAATCTCGTGCCTGAGAAAGTTACTATGTAACTGAAGCTAGCTAAAAAGAAAATACTCTCATATCTATCATCCGATGATCAAAAGAAAAGAAACATGATCCCGTTCCAAGCCCCTGTAGTTTTATGCTACAATATAATGCAGTACACGCACTGGTAACTAAGGCAGGACTAATTTCCGTGAATTCTGCGCTACGGAAATGCTTCTTGCTACGTAGTTCAGGGACGCCGACTAGTCGGGGTACACATTGCTGCCGTCGTGGTGCTGAAGAACGAACACGTGTTTCACGAAGATACGATGAAACTAGAAGCAGGACCGACTTCTTCAGGAACTCCATCCTCGTGGTTGATGCGATCAATCTTTCATGAGACGTGCAAATGAAAAGGTAACACGGAGAAGGGATTGTGGTGTACTTGTGGTGAGGTTAGGAGAGAGGACGCGAGGGAAGAGCTATTTGCAAGATTACTGTCAAATTGCCAGCTATTACGCGATTCTCGCAGGCAGACGACGCTCACATATCAATTGAGAGGTAAGTAAACTTTGTAAACGAACTTACCTGTTTCTCTTCTTCGTCGTGAAGACACCGGCCACCAGGAAGTTGAGGAAGTACATCGCGGTATGGTAATAGTGGTTCTTGGAATTCGCTCAGCAGAGAATATATAACACACTATAGCACGTTCAACGTAATTAATCCTCGATAAGTCAATTCTCGGGATCTGTAATCTTGAGAGTTCCCTATTTACGTGTAGTTGGTTACTCGTGTGATATAATACGATTAATCATCCGTCTCAGGTATTATATATGTGTATACTCTCTTGTGGCGTCGCGACGACAGTGACGTTAATTTACTAACGCGGAAGAGCTAGTTTAATCGGAGGCACGGAGTAGCAATTATTTTCTTTTTTCTGTCTCTCTTCCATTTCTTTTCGTTTTCTTCCCTACTTGCACAGTTTCTGGCTTTGATTTCGCAGTATTTATTCTGGTGGCGTATGACCAAAGAGGCAGTTTTAGTTCTTGTACTTTGAACCTCATCACGAGATGGGTCGACAAGCTAATATCTCGGCCTTAGAAAATGTCCTGAATTCCACATTAAGATAATGGCTTTGCTGTGGAATCAAATTTACACTCTTTGCTTGACACTTTTTTTGATTTTGCAACTTTCTGATAATCTGTACTATTCGTGCAAAAAACGATGGGGTCGGTTTGACATTGCGATTGAAATCATTTTGTGTCCCGGTATGGAGTATCTTATTCTTTGCTTTTGCTGAATATAAAATACTCTTGCTCGCTATTATGATCAGGGATAAAGAGGCTTAAGATATTTCTTTTGATTTTTGATTCCCTTGCGGTTATATTTCATAATACTTTGAAAGTATTTAACCTGAGTTAACTTGTAATAATGCTCAAGAAGGTTAGAAGGAAACTTATTGTTCTTTTCTTATATAGGATACTTTTTTTTGAGTTTTAAATGAGTAGAGTGCAAATGGCAGGAAATTTATGATAAACATAAAAGCTGTGAAAATGGCGCAATACTTTATACACTATGAAATGTAAATGTAACGAAATGGATACTACATGTAGGTCGGATGAATTTTTGAAAAAAAGGAACTCTTAAAACTGTCGCTTTTATTTAGTGTCCACTTGGTTGCATTCCACTACACAGTGGATGTCATACTGTAACCAATGTTAACACCTTATTCATTGACATCTGCCAATTGTCACACGAGTTTCTTATTGCTGCTGCACAAAAGAATGCACTTTAGATAGATTGGACTGTAGTTTTTTATTTTACCGACTGCGATTGCGAGTCTTTCATGGCGCCACCGCCGTGGCGCTAGCCATTCTTTCTCGTAATATTTGAAAGTGAGAAGATAGAAACATTTAATTAAGTTTGCTAAATATTTCTGAGATTAAAATACTTGTAAAGTTTTACGATCGTAACTAAATTCAAAAAATCAATTTTTATAAAATAGTAATCGCTATTTCATGTAGATTTGAAAAAGAAACGGATGTCATATTGATGGCGACATCTGCCGGCAATGTACACGTTTCCTAACTAGGCAGCTTTACGCATGTTCAACCAACAAGCCCTCTGTGGAGTAATGCGTTCATTGGTGAAGTACAACAACTGGCAAAATGAAGATGGCGGACGGATCCACAATCCTAAGAAGAAATAGGCCCGGAACAAAAGCAAAGGTTAATAATGACGTTCATTTCACATTTGACGAATACCTTAAGACTTACAGAATGCATTCATATAGCACACTTGATCGCTTTTGGCGTACCTGCGCAGTAACAGGGACATCTTGCTGTTTGACACATACCCTCGAAAATCAATGAACTCTTTGTAAAAGTTGTATTTACATTGTCTTGATTCAATAGTTTTCATCTATCGTTCTCGGAAAATAGTTTGTTAATTTTGTTTATTAGTTCTTTCGGCTCCAAAGAATTATTGTATTATGCTCAAGTTAATCATGTAGGCGTGACGAGTTTGACAGATCGTTTGACTTCCGTAAAATCTGGAGAGTGCATGTTATAGACCCTTTTACCAATTACGAGCCGAGAAATAAAAATAAATAAATAAATATACGCTACGATAAATATACGCTTGAAATAAATTCATTAGTTACGTTAAAAACTAGTTTACGTCGCGCTACCTTAATTATATTATAGTTCTAATCAATAGTATTTAACAGACTGTAGATATGTTATTTTTTATATGAAATGAAGTTGAATGAAGATTTCATGTTTTCTCTGCAGGATTTTAGTAGGTGGCCAGATGAACCGTTTGAAGAAATGGATAGCACACTGGCTGTACAACAGTATATCCAACAGATGATTAGAAGAGAACCATCGAATATTGATCTAATTCTAAATATGCCAGATGCACAAGACGAGGGTGTATGGAAGTATGAACACCTCAGACAATTCTGTATGGAATTGAATGGTTTGGCAGTTAGATTACAAGGAGAATGTGACCCTGGAATTTGCACTCAAATGACTGCCACTGAACAGTGGATATTCTTGTGTGCTGCTCACAAAACTCCAAAAGAGTGTCCAGCCATTGATTATACGAGACACACTCTAGATGGTGCAGCTTGTTTGCTCAACAGCAACAAATACTTTCCCAGCAGGTGGAGCTTTATTATTATATGTTTAAAATATTTTGCTAATCATCATTACTTATGTTGTAACCTATTACAGAGTCAGCATAAAAGATTCTTCTGTAGCTAAACTTGGGTCTGTCTGTCGCAGAGTTTACAGAATCTTTTCTCATGCATACTACCATCACCGTACAGTATTTGATGAGTTTGAAAACGAGACCTTCCTCTGTCGCAGGTGAGAATTCATATTAGACAAACTCGTCTAAATAATCGTACATTCTTTCCAGTATAGATTTCATTGTATTTTTGTTTTACTTACAGGTTTACAGCTTTCGTAACAAAATATAATCTGATGTCACAGGATAATTTGATAGTGCCCATAACAGTAGAGGACACTGCTACGGAAAGCGAGGCATAGGGCCCACCAGTTCGGTCTTTCTGTCCGAGACCCAACTGTCAAATTTAACATATAACTGATTCACGACTCGAGTACCTCATGAGGCTGTCTTGGGCCTTAAGAGCGTAGGAATAAATCAGTAAGTTCAATCCCGGTCAAATTCTACATAATTTTCTTGAGGTACAAAAGAATCCCATGCAGAGGCGCCACAGGAAGATAATTGAATATTAGCTGAATTTTTCAGTTCTGAGAAAAAAAATGAATTTATAGACGTTTGTATAGAAAATTTCTTTTACACTATCAAGTAATTTGTTATTATTACAAAGAATATGCAAGTGTGGCAAGACGTGAATAATTTTACGGTTGATGATAAAATAATGTTTATAAGTCAATATAGCACGAGAGTGTACAGTAATAAAAATAAACGATCAGAGCGCAATCAATATTGCTGTTTAACGAGACGTGTTGCTGCATGGATTGCTGTTGTAACGAAACTCCGTATACTGAATTAATCGTGCGAATAAATATTTCCAAGGGATTGAATATTAAATGCGCTATATTTTTTAATAGTGGCAAGTCTATTTATACGGCGGTGACCGTCACAAAAAAAAACCAATGGCTGCTCTGCACTTAATTTCGAGATTATACGACTTAAACTTGATTCCATCAAAATGAGTTTGTTATGTATACCGTAATTTATATTTAATTTTAATTGTATTTCATAACAATACAATTTCATTGGGATTATGTGTGTAATGAAAATTTGACCACAAGTCATTTCTTGTAGGTTAAATATAAGGGATGCTGAACAAACCCATATATGATATTGCATAATGAAATAAGAAAACTAATAAAAGAATTTTTAAGCATAACCGCGCAAAACCGTGCGTTACTGTCTCATTATATTAAGAAACGTCAAACTTGACTGAAACAATTTTATAAACAATATATTAAACTCCAAGCAAAGAAAAACAAGTTTTCGATCCGGTTAATCGATTCAATATCACTGTTACTGGAGGAAGGTTTTTACCATTTTCACTCATGTCCAAACGTTTTACTATTCTCCTAATGAGAATCATAAATATTATCTTTAAACTCCACCATGAAAGTGAATGAGCCAAGAAGAAAAAAAAATAGAAGAAAGATCCTACCCTTTCGAAAGGACCCACAGCTCGTAAATAAATAACATTGAAAAAAATATTCCTTTCTTGTTAGGAATAGTAACTACTTCGTACATTATTACTACTTGGTAATTGCTTTAACATTGCTCAAAACAGCAAATATTTAGATACAATTTCAACAGCTCGATGTGCAATTGTGCAATTTTTTCAAATTTTACCATAGATTTCTAATACACGGTTATGATAAGAATTAGAAGACCTTCTTTCCCCACAATTTCTGGATAGTCGAAAGCGTTAACTGATTTTTGACCACATTCCGTTGAAGAAGAAAAGATAATAAAAGAATGATAAAAACTCTAAAAATCCCTAACGACCTTTGTTCAAGATAATCCAAAATCACTAGATTGTATTCGAGAAATTGCAATCAAAAGAAGCTCCTGAAATTCTTATCTGTCCTTTGTACTGCACTCAAACGTTTGTATCACATTTGATATAATTCAAAGCACGATGGAAGTCAAAGAATGACAAATAAAAAGAAACAAAAAAGAAGAAGAATCCAAGAAATAATATATAATGATACGAACAAGCGACTAATTACTGTAATTAATGTAACTTAGACGGATAGTCCAATAGTACACAAGGTCTTGTAAAACGTATTTAGCGGTAGTGTTAGCAATAAATGTTGTACTACTGTTAATTATAACGCATTAATCTCCACTCAGTAACTAGGAAAAAAAACGTAGAACGCTAGACTCTCCTCTCTCTCCCGTTAATTAAAGAAGAAGGATCGAGTACGTTTGAAAATTCATTTTTACGTCGTGTTAAAAAATAGTGCAACAACTTTTTCAATGCTAAGTCTAATTAGCTAATTTCGCCGAAGACAAAATAGAAATTGCATAAACAATATCGTACTGTATCTAATACACAGGTCTATCAGGTGCAACAAAATTGTACTACAAAAATACATGTACCGTTATCTTTACTAATATTATATCTCAAACAATGCAAGTGGGTTTTAAAAGTCTGTATGTAAAAACGGGTCCAGTTTCGTCGCATCTTGTCTGTCACTTACAAGAGAATAAAGAAGCGAAAGTTTTCCAATGTTACTGAAGAAACATCTGTAAGAACAGATAATGCCTGATCGATGCTCTCTCATTATTATTTTCGCTAGGAAACGATTCCACTGGTTAATTTTAAATGCTTGAAATCTGTTCCTTCACCGCAAAGAAGATAATGAAAAAGTAAGCAAAACGTACAACGTGCTCCACATTATGGAAGAAAAAAGAACGGAATGAAAATCATTAAAAAATATTGAAGACCCGTGAACCGTATAAATGAGAATATACATTGACATACGAAATCGAAGCAATATCAGTGCTGGAAATGTTATATCACTGCCGAATAATAGACTCATATGCAATTACACCATTAATTACATTATTGTCTATGTCATTAAAAGCATCGATTGCCAAATAAATGCGACAATTATGCTATTTCCGATATGCCACGACTCGATTAATTTTGAACGAATGTGTTTCCGATATGATGAAAGTGTTTCGTACAGAACATTAGAAATATTCACTTAATGTTGAAAAATAAATTTGTAACAGCGCTCAGACATTTAATGCATTATACTTTTATAATATCGGTAAAATAATCGTTCGTTATTTAAACGGGGAGGCCTATTGTACTGTAAATAATGAATTTTGTAAATACAAGCTTATATCGCCAAAGTGGCATAGCGCACGATGTGTGTAGTTTACAATTGTGAGATAAAATGACGTAATGAACAGTACGTAACAGGACTGCATCCCTTGTGACTGTTTCCGTATAACGATTGTGGACGAACGAACAAAATAAAGTTTCTACCGAATGCAAAGAAGATAAAAAGAAAATTAAAATAAGAGTTACTTTATTTGCATTGTTATAGTTTTATAATCATATCTTTGACTGATTGCCATTATCCTTTTTCTTATTTTTCTTCGATGGCGTTTCCGTTTGTTGCTCCTTCCTTGGACGTTTCTGTCCCATTCTCAGACCCATCGCTGTGAATTCCTCAGCCGCTTTATTCGACATTTTACTGTTAGATTGTATTTTCGTTGTTTCCGTTATCCCTTCCGAAGTCCCTTCGTTGTTGACGTCCCAAAATGTTCCGGAATTGTTTGGTGCCTGATAACTATCAATTTTTACGATTGCCGTTAAACTGTATTGCCAGATTATATAACATTTAAGTACATATATGTACATATAATGTATATTTACCCAGATTCTTTGGAGTACATGGAATCTCTTGACAGTAAAATATGTATTTCCGGGACTCGCCGAATTTTTTCATGCGTTTCCTTTACACTGGAATTTCTCGATCTAGGTGAATCGGTTCAATTAACTTGTGAAATTGCGGGGACTTTTTTCAAGAGTATCGTGGGAATGCAATTTCGACAAGTACAGGTTTGTCCAAAAATTCAGATTTCAAATATACATTGACGTGAGAAAACCCCTTTTTTCTTTAATTATTCTATAATTGTTGTATTACAGAAAAACAAATGATACCTACTCTACATAGCAGAGTTTAGTTAATTGATGAAGACCAGTATTTTTCTTTTTAAATAATTCAGCGCATGTTATAACTTTGCCAATTCCTTGACCAGCGCCAGACCACAGAATACAAGGACGATTTGGAAATTCAAGCAGGGCATACCCCAACACATTCCTAATCTTCGTACCGCTGTTCACCTTAAATGTCAAGGATATAAAAAACAGTGGCAAGAAATAAATAGAATTCTTTAATTAACAAATAATAAAATTCTCGTAACTCACGTGCATCCAGAGAAGCTTCTTCGGTAAATTTTCAATAGGAACTTTACTGGTGTCTTCAGAGGGCTCGTCGACTGCTGGCCTCTTAAGTTTCGAACGACCCATCTGTAAAGTAAATTCTCTTAGTCGCAGACAGAAATCGTTCGGAAAGCTTGAGAAAATTTTTAAAATTAATCGCTGAATCCAGCCACACAAAGGGATCGGAGGATTTTCTTCCTGAAAGGGTTAGCAGTACCAAGGAGAACCGAGAGCAGTGGGTCACGAGTTCACAACTATTACTCCGTGTTCCTTAGCCAGAACCATTCGTGGCACTTGAACGACTTTGTACAGTCGTAACTAAAAATATTTTATCCCAGGTAACAAACTATATAAGATGTATTCGAGTACAATGACGAAGTAAACCATGATGATCATAAGTGTGTTAGTTTCCTTTAAAGTTATTAGAATATACCTATATCAAAAGTTCATACCAAATAAATCTCAACCATTTTAATATCCTTCGTTATACCCACGCAATGTGAAATTATAAAATTTTGATAACAGCTATACCCACCAATAAAGCACTCCTTAAATTCATGTTGAAGACGCGAGGGTTAATTTCCCACGTTCTCACCTACTTGGAAGAGGGAGGTTCTAGAAAAGTCCATCAATATTTTCCAATCAGCATTCGATTGTCAGCTATAGCCCATAGATGGGGTTCAACGGGGTTGGTGTGGGCGTATATGATGGTGGTATGCGGCATAGCGGGCATAGCGCCGCGACGCCTCGACGCCATATTGCATTATTAAGCACCCCTACATTTCCTCACCCTTGCATTCCAGTATTATGAAGGTTTTTATCCCTAAAGGGATCAAGCACTAGGAACTGTCCGAAGGCCTTTTACGGATTCTCAAAACCACCCCAAGAAACCCATCCTTGCTACATTGCCACCAGGAAGTCCACGTTTCCCCCCGTTCATCAAGGACTTATTGTAAGCGCATTTCCGAAAATTCTTGAAAACAACCCTATACTCACTCCCATCATCCTATATTCGCATCACGTACTACTATCCCTCTTTGGAAATTGGAAAATTCAATATATATTTCTCGATCTGAACGTTTACACGAATTACGTGCGTTATCCCTGAAAATTCCCCTAAACCGCTATGGAATCCTTTTTAAACCATCGCTGTAGGTAGGATCGTACTTTTTTAGGCTTTAATCCTATAATTCAGCAATATAACCTAAAAATATCATGGCGACATTCCTACCTCGAATTGTTACAGCGTAGACAGTCTACTTGTTTAACCTCAAAACGCAGAAGGAAAGAAATATTTGTCTTGGGGTTGAACAAATAAAAGGATCTCGAAGTGGCTCCGATCGAATTTAATCGGAAGAACCACTGTGCTGCCATGGATCATGCGACGTCTCTCGCTCTCCCTCTCGTTAAACATAATTAGGTGAGTTCGGGCTTCGTCTGCGAATGACAACTTCTTAATAATACCCTTCGCCACTACACCTTATAACCGCGAAGGAACTCAACATCCAATTTACTCGAGTGCTGGTATTCACTATTATTATACATATATTATACGCTATGGTACGGTGCTGGGACACGCTTAAATTTCCCGTGAATGAACCGTCGAAAGTCCTGCGTTCGCCATCTCGAACTCTTGGCGTAGGAGTGGGTCGTTTTCATTTCTTTTTTTTTATTATTTCCTCCCTTACCCCCGCGCAACTTTTCATAGCCTTCCCGACCACCTCCCTATTTCTTATTCCATTACCACTGTATACGTGAGCTTTTCCTATGAATATATTCACGACATGATTTCAGATAGTGATTTTGCCATAAATGGCAATCCCAAAGACATACGTATGGTTTCGTTCAATTGTTTATAGTGTTATGTGATAATGAAGGTGGTATCAATTTTTTATGGGGAAGATATATTGTAGTTTGTGTATTTTATATTCTTGACTACAAGATAACTTTGTGTGGTATCCTTTATTCAAAATGTCATTTGGATCAATGGAACCACGGTGTGGGATGTGCTTTAATTTAACGTTCCTAATAGACTATACTTATTTTTTACGTGACGAATGTCTTCAATGATCAAGAGGAACTAAAGAAGTGGGTGCTGCTTCTAAGAAAGACATAAGCATCCTTGCAAGGGATGCTATTGCGCAGGACTCACCGGAAGAATCTCATCCCTTGTCCTGATGCTGTTGGATAGCAAAGCTCATGGTGTCTGACGAGTCTCTCAGAAGCTCTCTGTACGTTTGCACCATTACGAGTCACGATCCAGTCTCCGAATTGCAGCAACAGGTAGGATTAATCGCGTATCGGTTCACGGAGTGAATGGTTAAAAAAATGTTTTGTTATTATCATACCAATTGATAATAGGACAAATTAAAAAAATTAATTAAACTTTGACAAGGTACCAACGCAAAGGGATATTTTTGCAAAAGTAAAACTGAACGTGAGATAACGAAAAATTCGAATAATTTTATATTCAGTTTTCGGCACTTTTTTGCTGATATTGTTTTAAGTATTTTCTGTATATTGTTTTCCTTATTTTTTTCGTATTCGTAAATAATGTAGAACCTCTTGAAATTATTCCTATTGTGAAGTTTCTGGCGCACGAGCCGTAATTCAACAGAGCAATTACTTTCGAACCAGTCGGCAGTTCTAACTTTGAGAACAAGGCGAATCCAGAATACGAATACTACGAGCGAATATTCTCTATGGAAGGAGAACTAACGTGCAGCAAACTACAATGCGAACGGTTTCGAACGTGTCGGAACAAGATTGCCCGACCACAATACGCTGCCAGAACGTCGAACTGGTGCGAAACTCCCAGAAGCCAGTTGCTCGGAAATACCATTAAAACACGTCCAAGTTCCGATCACGAATTTGCAAATTCGTTAGCCGAACTCAGCAAATTCAATCGTTGGATAAATAGTGCATAGGTTGCTAAACTCAATAATTAAATAATTCGACTAATCACAACCTCGTCCCGGGAGTAGACGCGTGGGGTAGTATCTGAGACCACCCAACTCAATGCTTCTCAAATGGAGAACGAAATCTCGCGACCACTTACGGTTTGATTACCCGAAAAATTAAATCTGTAAAATTTAATAATGATTGTTCGTATTTTATTTTTACGTCAATAATAATTATATTTTTGAATTTTTTTAAAGCAAAATAATTTCAACACAAAGTGGACATGGACATCGAGGAATTCCGCGTACGCGGTAAAGAAATGGTTGAGTACATTTGCGAGTTTATGAGCAATATACATAACCGACGCGTCACGCCGGATGTGGGTCCTGGGTATTTGAGACCATTACTTCCGTCTGCACCACCGCAAGAATCGGAACCATGGGAAGACATAATGAAGGATGTGGAATCAAAGATTATGCCAGGAGTGAGTAGTGTCTATGTAATTTTGAAAGCGTTGCATACTTTTTTTTCTTCATTTCTCCCCACGATAATAACTGAAAATGGCAATAATTGCAGATAACTCATTGGCAACATCCGCGCTTTCACGCGTACTTCCCGGCTGGTAATTCCTTCCCTTCTATTCTCGGCGATATGCTGTCTGATGCACTTGGCTGTATAGGATTTTCTTGGGTGAGATTCTTGGATTTTTACTACGTTCAGTTTACCGCGACTTCAATCCGGATAAACTGGAATTTACGAGGACTTTCGAATTGTCAGTGATTCGTGTGTGTTACGTGTAGATATAGAAAGAAGTGCATGCGCGAGACTGTTATACTTTGACGTGTGAAAATTGACAGTTCGATTCAACGGAAATTGGCAGTTTGAGCTGAATTGATTGATCGGCAATTTCATATGACGGAATGACGGATTACTAGGTGATAATAATAATTCCTGATATTATCGATGCGTTTCAGGCGGCGAGTCCAGCCTGCACGGAATTGGAAACAATAGTGTGTGATTGGTTTGGTAATAAATAAAGATATTAATTAAAATAAATTATTTTATATTAAAAAGTAGGTCAGTCAATTGTTCGTCATTGCAGGCAAAGCAATTGGATTACCGAATGATTTTCTCTACTTCCATGAGGGCAGCAAAGGCGGTGGTGTTATTCAGGTAATAATGATTAATTAAATTGTAGCTTTGAGACTTTAGCGGCCAATGCTCATAGGATTGTAATAGACTTCCGGATCGAAGAAGCCAATTGTAACCAGATAATTCAGATTTTTGTTACAAAAAAAAACGTGCTCAATTAATTTCATCAGGGCTCAGCTTCCGAATGCATCCTAGTCTGCATGCTGGCTGCCAGGGCTCAAGCGATCGCAAGACTCAAGGAATCACCGATTCATGCACATCTCGACGAAACTGCACTTTTGGGAAAATTAATGGCGTATTGCAGTCGAGAAAGTCACAGTTGCGTTGAAAAGGATGCTATGATATGTTTTGTCAAATTGCGAATTCTCGAGCCGGACGAGAAGAGTGTACTAAGGGGCGATACACTACGTCAGGTGCGATAATTAATATTTTTTTTAATTCATCAATGGGTACAGTCGAAATAAAAAATAATTTAACTTGTCGGAGTTCTTCAGGCAATCGAAGCGGATACGGCAGAAGGTTACGTGCCATTTTTTGTATCCACGACACTTGGTACAACTGCCTGTTGCTCCTTTGATAATCTTCGCGAAATCGGTCCAGTGTGCAAAAAATATCCTGGTGTAAGTATCCACGTTTGCTTGTTATAAAAGATTCATCGTGAAGGGTGATATGTTATTATGCTGGTATTATACTGGAATATTAGTGAAAATAATATATTTTTTTGGCTATCCGGATTTATCGTCAAATTGATTTTCTTTTTTTCCAGGTATGGTTACACGTGGACGCTGCCTATGCCGGCAATGCATTTATCTGTCCCGAATTGAAATACTTAATGGCTGGAATAGAATACGCGGACTCGTTCAATACAAATACTAACAAATTTTTATTAACCAATTTCGATTGTTCCTGTCTCTGGGTCAGAGACAGATTTAAATTGACGAGTGCTCTAGTTGTGGATCCACTTTACCTTCAGCATACTCACGCTGATACGGCGATAGATTATAGGTACATATGGTGTATTAAATTTGAATTAATTAATTATTATTAATTAATATACTTTATAATACTTCATTATTTAGACATTGGAGCATTCCGCTTAGTCGACGATTTCGCTCGCTCAAACTCTGGTTCGTGTTCAGAAGTTATGGAATTTCCGGACTTCAGGCGTACATACGGAATCACATAGAACTCGCCAAAAGATTTGAATCTCTTGTGAAAAAGGATTCTAGATTCGAGGTTTGCAACGACGTCGTCGTAAGTCATATTTCCGCTGTGAAAAAGATTCTTATGTAATTTATGTTGTCGTTGGCTCTCTTTTCAATCGTAACATTTTTTATTGCCTTACAGTTGGGGCTTGTATGTTTCCGTGCTAAGGGTTCGGATAAGTTGAATCAAAAGCTTCTGAGTACCATTAATGATTCTGGGAAAATTCACATGGTACCGGCTAGAGTGAATCAAAGATATACCATTCGATTCGCTCTTGCTGCACCTCACGCAACTGTCGAGGACGTCGGTAAGGATACAGGAAGACACTAAACTGCTTTTTTACCTAAATCAGACAAAAATACTACAGTACCAATTCGCTATAAGCGAACTCGTTCTGTTTGGCTGTGCTTTGTAGTTTCCCTCCTCTTAACCCATTAACGCCCAAGCAAAAACAAAGCTATCTGGGAATCCCGGATTTAGGGATTTACGAAATTGTTGTTAAAATATGATTTCCAGTGAGTGTGGAATACTCGAGCAACGAATTTCTTAGAATCCTATTTCCTTACTCACTCTAAAATTAGTTTATAACGAGAAAGTACCGTATACAGATACTTGTATTAAGTCACATATTTCAATTAACACTAGGTTTACGGACATTTCTTACATGCCTATCTCTACGTATACGCGTCAGATTGACGCATGAACGGAACCGCTCATTTTCTTTTAAAACCAATTTATTTCATTCAAAAATAACATAATTGCAGACTATTAACTTACAATATTTAGTATAATATAACACTACATTTATTCCGCGCATTTTTTACACATATATCCTTGTGAAATTCGAAAAGCGTGAAAAAAATACGTCCCGTAAACCTGTATACAATTAAGTTTGATTTGTACGTGTCTATGAATCAACAGCTGCACTTAGAACTGGACTGCATTGGATTTTGAAATGAAATTTTTTTTATAAATTAATAAAGAGAGATATAATAATCATAAAGAACGTAGATGACATTGATTAGAAATTATGAATTGAAAATGAGAAATATTAAAATTATCCAGAGTACATGTTAGCTGAAAGCAGCTATCGATTTTAACGTTAGAATTCTATAAATATATATTACAATATGTTATGGTAATGACTCTATTTAATATTGATCATACAAAATAATGTATCTATTATTATAGAAATAGCTTGGAGTATCATCACGGATTATCTTTCGGAATTACTGGAATCCAAGGTAACACGTCATATAATTTTCTTCCTTGTGTGTATTTTCCTCAAAATTGTTCCCATTATCATTGTCAAGTATGAAAAATCCAAGTTAACTATTAACATTTCCTCTTTCACGTCCACGAGATAAAAAGTTGTGGTTTGGTTAAGTCCTTGGACAAAAAAACTACTCCGAGCAAGAGATTCATTGTACCATATAAAATCATATTAATTATACAGGATGTCATGGACGAGTTGGCAGATATTCGCGAAAAGAAAAGAAAAGCTACCCTCGAGCAAAGAAGATCCTTTTTCGTGCGCATGGTGTCAGATCCAGCAATTCAACCAGGATTTACCAAGACGCCAAACAGGCCAGGGACAAAATTGGATACTCAGGCTTCGATCGGCGGAATCGGTTCGAATTCTCAGCCACCAGCGTAAGACGAATATCATAAATGAATATGAAAGTCAAAAACTTGTATTTTCAAAATGAATTAATTATTCCAGGCATTCATGGATTTCCTGGCCATTGGCGTATCTCCTCCACGCTCGCGACGCAACCGATACTAGCGAATTATCACTCAGGTAATAATTTTGCAAAATATTTGGAAAATATGATACATGATTCTTTTGTTTTTCTTTTTTTAAAATAGATTTCGCCATCTGGACACGATGGTTCGTTTAAAAACTGGAGGGAGTACGAGTCGCCGTGGAAGCAGCAATGGTTGCAGTCCTGAATTATCCCCGTCGGTTTCACCCTCTCGCGGTCGGAGTCCCAATGGCAGAGCGTAATCCAAGCAACGGGTCGATTCAATTTTTCGAAATTTCATTGAGAACCAAATTCGAGGTTATAACAGAAATTCCAGAAAGGCCTAATAGCAACAATCAAAAATGCCCAGTGAAGATCCACCGCACAGTTACGCAAAAGAGAAGGAAATGAGATAAACTCTGCTGATTCATTTCACGAAAATCCATATATCAAAGCTTGACAATAGCGATTTAAAATATCTTAAATAAGTAAATTCAAATTTATCAAATTTTTCGAGCTAATGTCACAACACAAATCGATCGACCTTTCTCGGCTTTCACTGTTCATCTCTATTCCTCAATCTGCTAAAAAATTCTAATCAATTCTAATCAATAGATATCGCACTATCGATAGATGAGACTAGTAACTAAAAAGATCCAAGAGCTATAGTGACAATAATAAATAATCAAGAATACCAATAAACGACTCTAATTTCTTTCTATTAACAAATATCCACTGTCGATTCCTATATTGTGTGCACAATTGCATTAAATATACACATATTTCATACAAATTTGACAATATTCGAATACGAAAAACTTTCCCATGCATAAAAATAACATCTATAGATATACATATTATATATACTGTAACGCAACAAAAAACCACTGAGACACGAGACGACACTGACGGACAACATAGCGTTGCCTCGCCATACTGAATCTCTTACTAAAAGTGGGATTGGTAATCAATTTTTGCATTGTGTATCATATCTCCTCCAACTACCAGGTGCCTGTACGACATTGGCGGATAGCATTACGCTAGCTTAGCTATATGCCCCACAGAACTCATACCTAATACCCATTAGAACGATCCTTGGCAAACCACAAGGCGTGGCAAGCTATATGATCAGTTTAATAAATCCACGATCCACTCTTTCACGAGAGACAAGGATAAAATTAAAAGTTGAAACAAGACGAACGCTCTCGAACTTGACTCAGGGAAGCGTGAATAACTAAGTGTAACCAAACACACCGTTTTTTTTAATAAAGAAAAAAAAGAGTTAAAAAATATAAACGGATTGGTTGAATCACACACCCACAAATCCGGTTCGTCCACCCAGAGCACGAGCTCTTTAAGAAAATCCTACGTCCATCACGTGGTGAAACATAGGGATTCACCACCGTGCACTAAAGGTGACACCAGTGCTCAACGTGAGGTACGGGAGAAGGTAACATTGGCGCCCAACGTGGGGCGAAAAATAAGTGGTCAAGGAATGATACAATCAAGAAAAAAAAAACAATAATCAAAAATGAGCGAGAACGAAGAAGCCACCAACACAATCCCAGCAGACTCGGTGACGCCCACATGGACAACAAGGGCGACGACTGCTAGTTCAACAAGCACCCCCATGAACACAGCAGCGGGAACATCCGAACAAACGATGACATCTGAGGGTCAACGACAACAACAAGTACATCCATACTCCCTGAACAAGAAAGAGAAGGGATGATAAATGTGACAAGAGAAATTGTCCTCGATTCTTTCACTACGGATGCACACGATCTCTCGACGAATCAGGCACACGCATTGGAACCAGAAAGAATGACTCTCGATAGGGCACTAAACGCCAATACGCAACAGCCGACCAGGGAACTAGGAGGCTTACTCCGAGAAGTCATCGAGGAAATGAAAAATACGATAAGTAGCCAGATAGCGACAACGAATAACAGAATATCTACGTTGGCACAATCAGTCGACGAAAGAATTCAAAGACATCAAATTTTGATGGAAGGCCGAATAAGGAGCGCCTTGACAATAAACGGAACAAAGCATCAACAGGATATGGCAAATCTTATGCGCCAGATGATGCAACTCGTAAGGCCAAGTGCACGCAGAACAACCCAACGGTTATCAGATGATACCATACCTATCAGTCAAGCATGCGGTACGCAGGCTGACCAATAAAGATTACGATTCCCAACACATCAGAGTACCCATATCGGGAGGGATGCGCCAAGACTCAGAAACCAGGGTGTAGAGGACACGTCACAAACATTCCGTTCTGGAAGAACTAGAACATGGGATTCCTCATGGAGTGCACCCAAGTTAACTTTACCATCCTTCAGCAACACCAACAAATCAAAACCAATAAGATTCCTTCAGGAATTAGAAGGGTATTATCAAGCTCTAGGCCTAGACCATGACCTGAAACTGGTAATTTCCCAGAGTCTATCAGGCACACCCAAGGAATGGTGGCTATTGATGGAATCAGAAATAGACACCTGGGAAAGCTTTGAAGAACACTTCCGGAAGAAATACTGGAATGAAGAAGAGCAATACAGTATTCGTGAAACCCTTGAATTCGGGTGGTATGATGAAAGGAAAAAGAGTACGCAAACGGATTACGCGATACGCGTAGTCGCGAACATCAAAGACCTTAAACCCCCACTACCAAAAAATGCCAGATAATCTCAAAAATGGCAAGACATTTCGATGAAAATATGAAGGCCGCAATCCTTGCGAGAGGAATGAACACAACAAGCCAACTCCTGGACCTGTTGGAGAGGTTCGACAAGGCAGGACCTATAAACTCCAGGAGGGAGAGGAACACCAGACCAGCCCCTGGCAAAGATACTAGAGATCAAACAATGAAGTCTGACACAGAAGGATAATCAAGAAGAAGGAAACAGGATACCCTAGTGCAAGGAACACGTCATGGAGAAACGATCCTAGGGCCTCAACAAGCTGCAATGGGTCCCAAAGGCAACAAAATCGCGGGAATCAAGAGTAAAGGAGGAGACCTCAACAAAAAATATTCGAAATATAACGGAAGAACAAACATCTAAAACACAGACGGGAAACGAACTATTGTGCCCATCAATGGCCTCTCAAAACCCGGGAGCACAATAGTAGAATGTAGGGTAATAGGGGAGGATACAAGATCCTATCTCCTACAAGAGGAGGAGGAAAGTCAGAAAATACACACGAAATGCCCAATAACAAGAATATTAATTGAAGGGATCCCCGAAGAAGCATTGATAGATACCGGAAGTGAAGTCACATGTATCTCGAAAGATTTCTACGGATCCAATCAAGGCATTCTAAAACAAGTCCCCATGCTACCAGTGGTAGGGACAAGTGTGAGAGAAGCAACGGCCAGGAGGGCAGGGAGAATAAGCAAACAAATATTTGCGAAGATAACTATAGGATCTTATGAAACTCATACGATCATCTTAATAGTACCGAAATTAACAAATTAATGCATTATAGGAATGGATTTGATGAAACAGGGAAAAACATTGTGGGACCTAGATCGCTTCCATATAACAATGAAGGAAGCTGATGGTCAGGCCCACCACATAAAAATGATCCATGAACGAACCGACGAAAAAGAAGGAGAACAATAAGAGGAGACAAGAAAATAGTTAATAGCTAAAATGTACAAGGATGTAGACAAATAGGAAAAAGACCCGAGGACTCCATTGAAGATGAGATAACGAAGGAAGGGGTCACAACTAAGCTGAAGGAATGTTCGTGGTCCTCAGAAACTCAAAGAGATATCTTTAGGAATCTCATAATGAAGCATAGAGGGACGTTCGACAAAAGGCCTGAAAGAATAAAGTGTTACCAGTTAGTGAAACCTGAAAGTTAAAGAACACGAACCCTTTACGTCCAAGACGTATCCTGTACGAATGGCGTATAGGGACAAGGTAGACGTCGAAATCCTGAAAATGCTGGATCTAGACATAGTACAAAAATGCACGGTAATTAAAACGGACGGTAGTGTGATGTTGTGCCTTGATGCTAGAGGAATCAACAACATAATTTTGCATTGTTAATCATATCTTCTCCAAATACCAGGCAAACCACAAGGCGGGGCAAGCTAAATGATCAGTTTAATAAATCCCCGATTCACTCGTCCACGAGAGACAAGGATAAAATCAAAAGTTGAAGTAAGACGAACGCTCTCGAACTTGACTCAGGGAAGCGTGAATAACTAATTGTACTAAAACACACCGTTTTTTTTTTAATGAACAAAAAAAGAGTTAAAAAATATAAACGGATTGGTTGAATCACACACCCACAAATCCGGTTCGTCCACCCAGAGCACGAGCTCTTTAAGAAAATCCTACGTCCATCACGTGGTGAAACATAGGGATTCACCACCGTGCACTAAAGGTGACACCAGTGCTCAGCGTGAGGTACGGGAGAAGGTAACAATACGTATATTATGTATCTATATACGTACTATATAGATCGTGGAGCGAAAGGCGATTATTATACATAGATTGAGCGGTGACCTGTCGCGCACCGCTTCAATGGAGTGTTGTAAATGTAGGTGAAGAGTAAATATCTATTTATAAACAAGGGTTGAGGGGAAGAAGGCAGCTGAAAAAGACAGCTGAAAAAGAGGGGGTTGACTTAACTCGTCTTCTATCCGATGATGCGATGTTCGCTTGTTCCAAGAGCGACCCCATGTTACATACATGTACATTCGGTAAATATGTACATTGACGAGGGATACACCTGGCTGGTTCGTGTATTGTCTAGGGTAAAATTACGGAAAGCGGCGAGTGAAGCCTCCATGAGTCATTTTCCCTTGAGGAAGATTCTTTAACCCCAACTCTTAGGGTGTTCATAGATCATTACGGGAAGCGTTTGACACGAGAAGGTCTCTGATATATAAGGTACGAAGAGTACAGTTAGGATAGTTGTGGATTTTCCAAAATATGATCAAAAATAAAATACCGTAATTTAAGTAAGGAAATGTAATAATTTAACTAATAATGACGCATTGCTCCAGGAAATTGTTAAGTATGGGTAAAATTATGTATAGGAATTTTCATGGAACATACGCTACCTGAATCTATCCCAAACAAAGACATCCTGAGGTCATCTCTAAGATGCCTAAGGAACAACCTCGACGCATAAGATCTCATTTAGTTGTCTCAAAGATGACTGTAGGATTTATGTGTTGTTTGGGATCAAACTTACTAAGGACTGTTTACAAAAATTATAATAACTCTCTTCTCTTTCCTTTACTTTTAATATCGAAAGTTTGGAACTCCCGGAATTCACTTCCGATATTACGTAGGCAAATATGGAATTTAAACGGACGATCCTTGGGGAACACCTTTGCTACGTTACGGACTACTGCATTATACCCCTTGCTTTCGTCACTGACATTGATAATGTTACTAAGAAAATAGTTAATGACGTATCTCGAAAAGTCCCGATATTAGCATCTAGTAGTTGGGGCCATCAAACTGGTTACGACGGTGTAATGTATTTGCCTGAAGTCAAAGTAATGACGCAAGAGCCAGCGGCGTATAAAACTGCGGAGCGCGCTCTGGGAAGGCAGAGTCACTCGGGGACTTTCGTACTGAAAGCCTGAAAGAGAATATAGTCGAGTCTCAAGTTTATAAGGAGTGTTGTGAAGGTGGTGTTATTTGACAGAGGACTCACGAGCAGCGACAAAGTTTTTACTTTTAGATATTTAGTTGATAACTTTCTTTTTAATAATAAGAAAAGGATCCTAAGGGATTTAGATTTAAAAAAAGGAAGACGAATTTATAATAAGAAATCATGAACATCGATGAGTTTCGCGTTCGCGGTAAGGAGATGGTGGAGTATATCTGCGAGTACCTGGCCACCCTGGAGGGTAAACGCGTCACGGCAAACGTCGATCCTGGATACTTGAGGCCTCTTCTACCCAACGAAGCACCGGCTAAGCCTGAATCCTGGGACGCCATTATGCGAGACGTCAATAATAAAATAATGCCAGGAGTGAGTGCTTATCGGTTGACGAATGTGTCCAAGCTGGCGCGTCTCAGTGAATTAATTTTTTAATAACTCCATTTCTGTTTCTAGATTACGCACTGGCAGCATCCCAGATTTCATGCGTACTTCCCATCCGGTAACTCGTTTCCTTCCATCCTGGGGGACATGCTGTCTGACGCAATTGGTTGCATAGGCTTCTCCTGGGCAGCGAGTCCAGCCTGCACCGAATTAGAGACCATCGTCCTGGATTGGTTCGGAAAAGCCATTGATCTCCCACAGGACTTCCTGGCGGAGAAGAAGAGTTCGAAAGGTGGCGGAGTGATACAGGGCTCAGCATCCGAGTGCATCCTAGTTACAATGCTGGCAGCCAGGAATCAGGCGATCAGGATGCTGAAGGAGCAGGATCCAACGACGGAGGATTCAGCTTTTCTACCGAAATTAGTGGCCTACTGTTCTACGGAATCACATTCCTGTGTTGAGAAGGCAGCCATGATAGGACTCGTGAAGTTGCGGGTCCTGGAACCAGATGAAAAAGGTTCTCTGCGTGGTAACGTTCTGGCAGAAGCTATCGAGGAAGACGTAGACAACGGTTTAGTGCCTTTCTTCGTATCAACGACTTTGGGATCGACGGGATGCTGCTCCTTCGACAATCTCGTGGAGATTGGACCAGCGTGTAAGAATTATCCAGGACTGTGGTTGCACGTAGACGGTGCGTATGCTGGAAATGCATTCATCTGTCCGGAACTGCGTCCTCTGATGGCTGGAATCCAATACGCCGATTCCTTTAACACAAATCCGAACAAGTGGCTGCTGGTGAACTTTGACTGTTCCTGTCTCTGGGTCAGGGATCGCGTTAAGCTTACATCCGCCCTGGTGGTGGATCCTCTTTATCTCCAGCACGCCAATTCCGACGAGTCCATTGATTACAGACACTGGGGTATACCTCTTAGTAGAAGATTCAGGGCGCTTAAGCTCTGGTTCGTCATCAGATCCTACGGGATTACCGGCCTTCAGAACTATATACGAAATCATATTAAACTTGCCAGGAAATTTGAATCTCTTATGAAGAGCGACAAACGCTTTGAAATCATGAACGACGTCAGAGTCGGCTTGGTTTGCTTCCGTCTTAAGGAGACGGATGAGCTGAACCAGGAACTCTTGGCGAACATCAACGCCTCGGGGATGCTGCACATGATACCTTCGCGTGTCAAGGGAAAATATATTTTACGTTTTTGTGTCACGAGGGAGAACGCTACGGAAGATGATATAAGTTACGCATTCGACGTCATACAGGAACACGCAACGGAAGTTATGTTGACGCACTTCGAGGGTACCGAGAAGGCGGAATTCATGCCGAAGAGTCCCAAGAGTCCGGCACCATTGGACAAGAGGTTGGTGCGAAAGTTCAGCTTCACCAGAAGTGTATCCAGGGACGTGTACAAGAGATCCATATCGAAATCCAGTCTTCACGACGGTGCCACGCCGATCATGGTCGTCGATGATCACTCTCAGGTCGACACCATTGAGGAGGATGTTTTTTGTAACAGTCGGTAGACCACGGCAAAGCTCACGGTACCCAGAAGACGAGATCAACTGTTATCGTTACCATGAGCTAAAGAGTACTTAGTGTAAAGACAATTAAATCAAATATGCGGATATGATATGCATAATCCGTATTTGGATACAATTCGCTATGATCTCATAGTCATTAACAATGCAGTGAAAAGTCCGAGTGTACATTTAAATTTTCGATCGAAATGACAGGCAAAAGTGATATAAAGAATAGGTATTTTTGTCAGTAGACAGTTAAATCATTGTGAAATCCCGGACTTTTCTCGGTTGTGTGGTAATTGCAACTGATGACCATTAGGTCTGTTATTTGTATCCGTGTAACAGTATTACGAGTAGACTAACTAGTGTTGCGATTAAGAAAGCGGAAGGTAAATAAATATGGCCCGTGGCAGACAGTGTACTAAATGGAAAATATCAACGTATTCGGATTTTTACGTTAAAAATTTTGAATGATATCTCAAGCGTCCCTTGAGACACGTTCGAAATTGACGTACTTAGAAATACGGACGATTAATTAGTAAATATATTGAATAATTACAGATTTACTATTTATAAATAATACTGCAGTCTAATTGTTTAAGTGATTATTTATTGTGTATATAATGACGATTTAATCAAATAAATTCATACGTTCATACGCTCGTAAATCAAAACTTCTGTTTCTATCTATCTTTTCTTCCTCAATGTACTAAGTCAGTGAAATTTAAGTTTGTCTTATTATTACATACATATATTAAAAATTTGTTTGTGAATACTATTTAATACTTTTATATTCATAAATGTAACATCCAGGAAGTAAAAGTAAACAATTAACCAAGGCTATTAATGATTGTAAGATTTGATAAGAGTATATTTTGAAATTCATTACAAGCACTACGAGAATGGTAGTGTTTCACACATTTCCATGCAAGTAACCAGGAACAGGATGATACGCGTAGTCTAGTAGGAAATTTTGGAATGTGCCCAAAGGCATTTGTTTAAAACAATTCAGCTATGGTTCAGCGCATGCGTTAAAAGATGTTCGTAGTTGCTAAAACAATGTGCAGTCGCAGAGCTGGTGCCAATAATATTTACGATAAGATTTATTTATTTATGAAAACCGAATAGAAAAATACTTCGAATTAACTATAATTTTGCTTATGTAAATAATGTCATAAATTAACTATTTCGATGATATAGACTTTTTTCACAATTGCCTTTCAGTTACCTTACATACAGAGACATAGACATGTACAGGGTTTGTTACAGCTATTTATACTGTATTCAAAGGGTACAAATTTATACAGGCAGCGCTATGGGATATTGATAATTATTTATACAGGGTGTTCCGAAACTACCTGACCCGGTGGATATGGCGGTGTTCGGGAGGCTTCACTGATCACGAAAATGACTTTCTTTTTGTCCGGAAGGTCATAGTTTTTAAATGGGAGCAGGTCAAAGTTGGCCAATCAGAGGGAGGCGTCAAGAGAAACGTAGGCACCTACGAACTCTCAGTTTTCTTCCCTCGCTTTTGTTTCTCGGTGGCTTCGGGCAGGATGACGTCAGCCGAAGACATGCCTATTGGAAACAAGAAACAAGCTACGAGAAACAAAAGCGAGGGAAGAAAACTCAGAGTTCGTAGGTGCCTACGTTTCTCGTGACGCCTCGCTATGATTGGTCAACTTTGACCTGCTCCCATTTAAAAACTATGACCTTCCGGACAAAAAGAAAGTCATTTTCGTGATCAGTGAAGCCTCCCGAACACCGCCATATCCACCGGGTCAGGTAGTTTCGGAACACCCTGTATAAATAATTATCAATATCCCATAGCGCTGCCTGTATAAATTTGTACCCTTTGAATACAGTATAAATAGCTGTAACATGAACGGGGGTAATAAATCACAAGAAACTAAATTACTAAACTCATACTATAATTTTTATAGGAATATTCGATTGAGAAAAGAAAAAATTAAGATAATTGTAATAATATAACTGATGCAACGGACAAGTAATTTTCCATTTTCCGTATTCTCCAAAATTTCTATTACAGAGTCACTCTTAACTTGCATGTATATGATTTCGGCAATGTTCTATACAAATTGTTAATTTTCCAATTCGATAAATTACGAGGAAGGAGTATTGTATATACTTGTTCGTGGTGCAGTATGGTAGAAATAACCAGTTTCCCAGCTAATACATTAATTACGTATGATACAAATATAGTATGACGAAAGCACATATTTGTTAAAATTCTGAATTTCAGGATTGGAGTTGCCGATAGTACGCTGAAATATTGTAGTATATTTTTATGTGTAATATACCATGATGGATATTACCATTCATTATAATGTTCATTAGCACAACGTTAAAGATTAATCAATATTGATTATAAGTTGCCGAGAGTCATAAAGTGAGCTAAGTCGTTTTAACGATAAATTCAGGTTAATAAGAAATTATGCCATAGCCGATGGCCATAGAAATTATGTATAACAATTTTCTGTAAAATTGATATATTATCTGTTAAAATAATCAGTTAAATCAATATACACAAATATATATACACATGTATACATGCATCATTGAAGAAATATAACCATAGTTTATCATTATGTAGTTAGAAGATCTAAGAACTATGCATCGTATTACTTTCAATATAATTGCGTCATAACGACAGCATGATTAAAGAGACATTTAAAATTCTGCAATATATCATTATTTAGTGAGCCAGCAATAAAACAATCATACTTTCGAAATAAAAATAGAGTATTTATTGAAAGTATCGTATCATTTTAAAGAAGTGGAATCACATCTGTCCACACTGAGATATCGTCACTGGAATCTTAGGTTTATTGTTTGGTCCCGTAGGTACATTTTCTACTTTTCTCATAACCAAAAGTCCATCAATCACTCTCCCAAAAACAACATGTTTTCCATCCAAGAAGTTACACTTTGCACATGTAATGAAAAACTGACATCCGTTGGTGTCTTTACCACTATTGGCCATCGACAACAATCCAGGAGAGTCATGTTTCAGAGTGAAATTTTCGTCAGGAAAGGTTCCACCACCGTATATACTGAGTACACCAGTACCATCTCCATTGACGAAGTCTCCTCCTTGGATCATGAAGTCCTTTATCACTCTATGAAAAATAGCTCCTTTAAAACCTAAGGGTACACCATCCTTCCTGTACTCTCCAGTGCAAAATTGTCGAAAATTTTCAGATGTTTTTGGACAGACGTCTTCAAAGAGTTCAAATATCATTCGGCCAATTTCCGTTGTGCCGACGGACACGTCGAAAAACACAACAGGATTATTCGGATTACGAAGTTGTGCTTGAATTTGATTCCAAGTTGGCATGTTTGATGACTGAGAAATAAACTCTTATACTATTCTGTATCGTTGAATCGTTTTCCAATGTCTTGTATTCACTATTTCTGAAGTTTCACTGTTGTTTATGAATTTAAAAAGGCAGTACAACATAAATACGTGAACAGACAAATTAAACATAACCTAAATGACTGCTAACAACCACGCTACCAGTGCGGCCATTTACAAAAATCGTCTAACGTTGCAGGTGAAGCTAGGAAAAATTATCAAAATATCCATAAAAAATTGTAATACATAAATAATCTACTTACTGTTTCGTAGAAAGGATGAAAGATAGAAGAATAATCCCTGAGGATAACAATATAAATTACACTCACTGCATCATATTTTAAATAATTACTTGTACAAGTTTACTATTTCGTATGACAACAGACTTCACGTAGTCATTTTTTGTGTTTTGATCAGCCTTTCAGGTTAGGCAGGATAAGAAGGAAACGAGGGAAAATTTAAATACTACATAAAGCACATATTTGCAATCTAATGAATAATGGAGTAGTGTACAAAATAAAATACAATTTATTTTACATAGGTGGTATTCTTATCGCATTTCTTTCTTACACTTGAAGTTTGGAATAGATCGAATCGCCCGTTGATTTACGGTGCCTTCCGAAATGTACTGATAGTACTGTCAAACATCTCTGTTGGATGCTTATGGATGAATAAGGACACATCATTGGTTACAGTACTGGCAGTACTAACATTACATTTCGGAACGCACTCTTAGGTAATAAAAAATGATACTCGGCGCGAGACTTGATCGAGTCTTAATAATCGTGACATCAGCAGCACCGAGAAAAAATTGGTAAAGAGCCCCTGTGTATTCTCTGTTTGAAACGAATTGTATGACATTTTAATCCCCTCCGGAATTTCTATGCTAGTTCCAACGTATCTCCCGTGTCCGATATGCCCACTAGCCATCGGACACAACGTGAAATATAGCTGGTCCTTTTTACTAATATCTTCTCGGTTCTAGCTGTGATTCAATCAGTTATTTAAATCATAGATTTGAATAGTGATTTTTCTTATACAACACAACATGTCTACGATATGTTTTGTCCAATATAATAATAATCCATCATCGCACAATATAATATACCGATCTTAAAGACTATAGTAGTTTCTCACAGACGTACAGAATATTATATTACAGCGGCGCATATATGATCTACGTGTACAAAAGCACTGGAGAAAACGAAGCGGATTATAGCCGCTTCTCAATGAATTCATTTTAAAAGAAAAACAGTAAATGTCTTTTTACAAGAATTGATTAAGAGCATGACAGAAAGTACACTGATGCCAGTAATCACCAGTAGTGTTTATTATCGTCCATGCCTACGCAATCGCGCTATAGAAAATATCACAAGCTTGGACATTTAAAAATTCTGCACGAATTATATGTGAATCTTGACGTGTTCCATAAGTACATTTTTGTCGTTAAAATCCTCGCCGCAGATACCGCATACCAAATCCTCACCATCATCACTTTCCTGCTGATGATATTGCACTACCTGAATAACATCAGATTGTTGAGTAGCATCTTGCATCAATGAATCCCGTTCAGTTGCATTTTTTCCTTTGTCATTTTGGGACTGCCTTGAAGAGTGATGAGTTACCATGTTCATGGGCATATCAGTGTTATTACTCATTTGTGCAATTTGACTGGAGAAATTCTCATGATTCTGTGGATTTGGTATTGCTAAAACAGGTAAGGATTCATTTTGTTTTGATATCAGATGTAACGTGTTGTTCTGTTTTCCTGTAGTTATTAGATGTAAAGTTTCATTAGGTTTTGATGACGATATCAAATGCATTGCACTGATTTCATTGTTCCTTGTAGTAGCTATCCCAGTTATAGTGTTACTTTCGTGTTCGGTTATTTGTGTACTTTGTTCATGTTTCTCTATAGTAATCAGATCCAGAGATTCCCCGCGACTGTGATTCCCATGGGATAACTGTACCCCTTCATTTTTAGTCTCAGTTATTAAACGCACTGCTTCTGTTATTCTGCTAGTGCTACTGTTATTTTGCTTTTCTGTTAGTACTTGTTGGTTATTAGATGATTTTCCAGATGTCTCTGTGATAGAGAGAAGAGCTTCGTTTTGTTCAGTTCTAGAGATTAAACGACTTCCGGTAGTTTGCTTGGACTGGGTGGTTGAGCTAGTAGAGGATTTTGATTTCTTTTTAGGAGGTTTTGGTTTTGGTGCATTGTTATTAGTCTTTGCCTTTGCTTCAGCTATCATCTGATCCGAATGCTTCACGATATGAGCACATAACTCATCTCGATCCTGATTCAAAGCACCGCAAAGTGGGCATGGGAATGGCGGACCTGTAACCTCCGTTTCATTCTTTCCCGCAGCGTGGACCCACCTTACGTGTTCACGTAGCACGACTTTCTGATTGAAGGCTCTGGAGCACAATGGACATACGTGAGGTCGTTCGCCAGTATGAATGCGCTCGTGTTTCCTCAGGGTGCCGCCATCCCTGAAGGCCTTCCAACAAAATTTACAGCCGTAAGGCCGCTCGCCGGTATGTGTACGATGATGTATCAAGTATCCTTGTCTGGAGGAAAAGGTTTTCGAGCAGGTGTCACAATGAAAATGTGCAGGACTACCTGCGTGAGTTCTGCCATGTTCCCAGAGACCCTGGCGAGACACAAAACTCTTCCCACATTCGCTACAGGTGAAAGGCGAATCACCCGGGTGCGCTGACAATCTGTGCTCATCCAATTGATTCTGCTTCTCGAACTGGGATCCGCACACTTCACACGAATGAGTTTTCTTTCGGTGAATCCATTGATGCCGGAACATCTTCTGTTTGGTAGTGAACTTCTTTCCGCATTCAGAGCACGCGTGCTTGCCCCACTTACTGTTTGAAACACCCTGTTCGATGTTGTTTTGCATCATTTTCTTGGCGCACGTTGTTTGATGCGTTGCTAGATGATTACCATCCTGGAATTGTTTGTCGCAGTATTCACACTCGATTGGCATATTCCAATTCTTGGAGGCGTGTATCTTTTCATGAGACGTCAGGGCGGATACCCTGGAAAAACTAACACCACAGTGAGTGCAGGTATATGATTTAGTTTCATTTATTTCAACTTCCACGTAGTTTCTTCGATTCTCTCCTACATATGGTAATGCTTCTATTTTCACCATAGTGTCCTGATTATTAAAGTTGTTTAACGATAAGTTATATTGTTGATTTATCTGACTTGTCATTGTACTCTGTTGACTATATTCAAACTGGGTTACTTCACCATTAGGCATCACTGTGAATTCTTGCAGAGTATCCATTTTCTCTTGGTGATTACTCAGAGAACCCACATTGGACTGCTCATTGTGAAAATTGTAGGAAGGTACGGTCCAATGTACCTGAGACACGTCGTAACTCTGTATTGTTTGTACAGACGAGGACGGAACCTGCGTACTTTGCGATTCTGAAATATTGTTTTCTGGCCATTTCCTAAAGGATTCCACAGGTTGGGAGACATTGTTTCCCTGTGATTGCATGATTGCCCGACCTGCTACATAGGTATGAATTTTCATATGATTTGATAGGCTGGAAGGTCTTTGAAAGTCTGCACCACATATTGTGCACTTGTGAGGTCTTTCAACTTGGTGAACCTGTGCCATATGAGACTGGAGATTTGCTTTGGAACGAAATAGATTTCCACATGTTCTGCATGCATGTGGTCGATCGACTTGATGACAAACCATATGATTATTCAGGTCTATCTTTCTTTCAAATCTTTCACCACAAGTAGTACAAGATAATTTAACAGCAGTACAAGTAGGATGATGCTTTGCCATTTCTGATTGCGTAAAATGATTTGCACAGTTCGGACAGCTAATTTTTTTATCTTCAAAACAAGGATACATTCCTCCAAGTTGCCGAAGAGCTTCTACTGCCATAGATTCATCATCACCGGAAGTATACTGTTGCTGTTCCTCTTGCTTAATATAAATTGGATAAACGATAGAATTTTCATCCTCTTCGTCAGAACGTTCAGCCAAAATTTCTACAGCTACTTGAGCTTCTGTAATGCCAGTATTCACATCCCCTACAGACACTTCGCTCAGTCCTTCTTGTAGTACGCACTCATCCACAGGTTCACATATCTCCTCATGTGATATGATATTCTCTTGTATAGACTCATGCACTCCAGACAATGGAAATGTTACATACTGTTCGTTCTCGTGAGTTTCCATCGTACAACAACTTTATTTAGTTAAACTTCGTTCCTCTTGGAGCAGGCCGAAATTTTGACGACCTAGTTTGACCTCAAGTTAAGTTAGGTCCTGTCATCCTTAATGTACAGACGGCAGTTTCTGTTATTTATCCTCATAAACCGCGCTATATCTTGTCTTCACGGCATTTAGGATATTCACCTGGCTCTAATACTGTTCTTGCCAGCCTGCTGTAGCTGCAGTATAGACTTCTTTACTAGCTCGACACCGTACTGCTGTTCTCATTGGAAGCAAACTTTATGATATTCGAACATAGCTGGAGTTTGGCTTGACTCACAGAAACACAGCTCCATATAAAAAACCGTTTAAGAAAAGAACTTTTAGCAGGAAAGTATACAATTTATAATGCAAATCTCGAAATATCTGTACGAACGATTGTACAACGAGGTTATTTAGGGAAAAGTGCAGTAACGTGTGTTCTGCCTGAAGTTATCATAGGAGGCGGCCCCTTCAATCGAGTTTTTCGACATTTCAAGTCGATTTTCTACTTCATCTAAGTAAGTAACTTGTAGACACCTTATAAATATCAATTTGCTTTGAAATATTATTGTATAATACAAAATTATATTTAAGAATATATTTTATTGGTAATAGAAAAGATTATAGCGAGGTATGATAAGATAACGATTTTCTTTGGAAGAATATTGTCGTTCACGTAAACAGGTAAATTATTTTGGTGTTTCAATCGACATCTATCGATTCACATGGTTATCATTCGATTGTTATACCTATATCCACAGTTTTTTTACTTCACAGTAAAATCCAAATATTGTTTGTCTCAAAGGTTGAATTTTTTTCTACTGAATTTCTAAATCTAAATAGCGCATCCTGTTATCTGCTATATTATCCCATTGTACGTCATTTAACTGCTTGACAATTTAAACCTAATAATCACACACATAACGTGTCTAAAATATATTGAAGAACCTATACTATATTAAATTAGTTTTCTAACAGTGGGCTGATAACAATTTTATTAATACTCAAAGTAACATGACTATAAAGCAAAACGAAACTGCCAAGGGCTGGCATATTATGTGGTGGTTATTTGGATTGTTTGGTATTCCCATCACATTCCCATGGCTCTTGTATAATGTTGTTGATGTTATCCTGCAAAAGCGGAGAAGAGCAAATCTCAGTGGCAAGGTAAGAATTTTATTCTTGTTCCAAATTATTCTTGTATTTGCTTTATCGTATTACTTCAATTGTACGTATTAATATTTTCATATTGTTATTAGGTTGTTATGATAACAGGTGCAAGTTCAGGTTTGGGAGAAGCATTAGCCCATTCCTTTTATAGTTGTGGCTGTCGAGTAATTCTTGTGTCTAGAAGAAAGGATATGTTGGAAAAAGTGAAAGATAATTTAATGAATACGCATCATGTTAGTTTTAATATATTGAATATTTTAAATTATTTAACATTGAACGATAACTTTTATTAAATTTTTTAGACAGTTCCCACACACCCACCTGTAGTACTTCCATTGGATCTGATAGATATTAATTCTTTACACTTGGAAGTTGAAAAAGTTTTAAGGATTCATGGTAGAATCGATATCCTTATAAATAATGCTGGAATTTCCTACAGAGGAGAGGTAATTAACACTAACGTTGATGTTGACATAAAAGTAATGCTAGTTAATTACTTTGCTCAGATAGCATTAACAAAAGGTAAATATTAAAGATTATGATAATATTATATACATATATATGCAAATGTGTCATTGTCTTTATTTTTCAGCTGTGCTTCCAGCAATGATAAAACATCGATCAGGTCACATAGTGTGTATCAGCAGTGTCCAGGGTAAAATTGCTATTCCATTCAGGCAAGTCAAAATCCTATTAAACTTCCAATCTATGTCAGTCCATGACTAAAATAGCTTAAAATGTCATAGGAACAAATGTTTTATGTTAGGAACTGTAAAAAAATTTTCCTATTTTGATGGTCTTTTGCTGAAGGTTATGAATGGATTTTCCATTGATATATCAGTACCACTTTATTTTTGTCAAAAAAGCATTGGTCATCGAAAGTTTTGCTATAGGCATTGCATTTTTCCATTCTATTTTACTTGTGGACTGACTATACTATTTAGAAACCAATGTTCATATTTCATAAGCGAAAAGTACTCAACAGATCAGCTTATGCTGCTTCAAAGCATGCACTGCAAGCTTGGTGTGATTCGGCCAGAGCTGAATTAGCTGATCGAAATATAAAGGTCACTGTCATAAATCCAGGCTACATTAAAACTGCTCTATCTCTAAATGCCTTAACGGGAACTGGCCATACATACGGAGGTCAATATAATAAATTCATGAATCTGTTACGTATTTATAAATGTCCTTCATTGCTTTAACAATTTATAATTATGCTGTTGCAGTTATGGATGAAACAACGGAAAAGGGTTATTCTCCAAAATACGTGTCCGATAAGATTTTAAACGCTGTGTTAAAAGAGGAAAGGGAAATAACTATAGCAACATTCACACCTAAAGCTGCAATCTATTTGCGAACAGTATTACCTTCCATTTATTTCTGGATCATGCAGAAGCGCGGTAAGAATTTGGCAAAGCAAGAGTAGTTGCTTGTCACGAGATGTAATTACAATGAGGTGAACGAACGCTTTATGTTCCATGCATGTACATATGTACTTACTTGGCGGACAAGATTTAGATTGTTTAAAAAGAAAACAATGGAATCATATTTCCAAAATATATACCTGATCAATTGATTGCTTTTCAAGTGTCAACGCAAGAATATCGCAAGAAAGCGATAAATCGTTATGTATTTGTTAAAGGAAATCAGTACGTGTTGTATACAAGTTGAATTTGTTTATAAGTTTTATAATAAATGTGAATTATACATATAACCATTGTGATTTTTGTTCAGTATCAGAATTTCTTAGCTTTCCTGTTGAAGTATGACGACCGTGATTAAATTATTTAAAGTAATTAAAACACACAACTTTTATAACAAATAGGAATAATATTTTCTATATATTTTTGGAAACCAAGATAAAATTCTTTACATAAAGTGGAAAAAAACATGAAACCAGGATATCGTAAACTCGAAAACAAATGATGATATGCCATACAAACTATTTAAAACTATTTTTATTAATAATATAATAGCCACAATCAAGTGGAACGTGTTTTACATTATGTACATTATAAAACTATAAGCCTGTAATCAAATCAGGCTTCTCGAGCATATTCCGTATTTTTTCTTACTGATAATGAGTGTGTCCGTCGTTCCTTGAACATCAATTGAATGTAAATATCATCTAGTTTAATTACCACACAATGAGAAGTATCATTTTTGGGAGACAGCTTACGGTACATATAATGAAACATTTATACTTCTAGAATGCAACGCAGGATACTTAAAAATCATAATTATTGCCACGTAAAATGAATTGTTGCTCAGTGGTTTAAATGCAGTGAAATACAATGAATGTCAATTTTTTCAAGGTCACTTCAGACACACCGTTGTAGTTACGACACTTTTTGACGTACAGTTTAACAATTTTGCTCTCGTTCCTTCTAATTTGTTAAAAATAAATAGCATCTTGACAGCTCCTATTCATTCTACAAGACTAATAAGCTGAAATGTAACAACTGTAGTTAGCTTTTGAATGGAAAATAATGAACGAAGTAACTGCAACTGGTGCATTTTAACTTACTAGTCCAATACATATCGTCGATGCTATGATAAGGTTCATTAAGAAGAATACGATCCTCAAACATTGACTACGATATATCATTACTTCATTGTTCAATGCCTAACAATTGTATTTTACATCCAACAACCATTTACATATCTAATAATAAATTTGACAATTTGATAATGTGTTTCCTAATATCGCTAAAATGCATTGCACACTGAGTACTTCACCAAATAAACAACAATTTAATTACCATCAGATCTTGTGTAAATTATCTTTTCAATCAAGCTCGAACGCAATTTTTCGCTTTCATACCCGCTCTAGGAATAAGAAAAAAAAATAAATATAATGACGTAAAGGCTCATAGAAAATTCTCTTTACGGTTCTTCCTCCTATATCTTCGTTTTTATTATTCTTATTAATTCAAGAGCAAGTTTAAGTTTTCCAATGAATGAGAGATCACGAATAATCAGGGATCACAATCGGACGGATGAAAATGGATTCTTGAAATAATTGTATCTTTCAAATGAATTGTACAGATTGATTAAGTATAGATTTCATATATGAAAATTGTTGAATCTGGTTAATGGTACCTGAGTAAACAAAGATATTCGTGTCACAGGAATACTCATAGCCTGTGCTAAAATTGAAATGTGGCACCGATCTTGCATAGCAACATCTTCACGAATCTATTTTCTTCTTCCTGACCTGTCTAGTAACAACTATCCATCTTTTGTGAGGGACTTACATTATAATATTCAAGTGCCTGATGCCTTCGGTATATGACGTAAGACGTTCATCGAAGAATAGGATCGTTACAATTAAAAAAAATTTGAATTGTTGTTGAATTGAATTTAAATTTAATTGTTGTTTCAATAAATGATTACTTAATCATACAGACATATGTTTAATGTTACTATTATTTATGACGTATCTAACACATTAAATATATGCTTGTACGGGGTAAAAATATCTGAACTGAAATTGATTTTGACAAATTCTATTTTTTATTATTATTTAGTAATGCAAGCTCTCATAGGAAAAAGTAAATTCTTAAAAATTACATGCTATAAGATAATGACTATGGATTCAGATTTTCACTGTACTATATTTTCTTCCTATGCTGCTGGCTACTATTATCCTTGTTTAACAGAACGTCATTTTCTTTTTCATTCTTGTAAGTCTGACCACTAAGAAAAATACACTATACGTTTTACTTGCTGACCCACTTGACTCGTCGACCGAATGATTTGAACTCTGTGTGCAATTTTTTTCTTTTAAGTAAGCCTTTACTGGTTTTTCCCTCGGCAAATAAGCGCACAATCTGACTTATTATAACGCTCTAATTTTCTGTTCTCGAAACACTTTAAAGAGAACTCATAATTCAACTAAAATGCACTACGCTTCCAATTTATTAGCCGTTCACTTTTCAAGCGTTAAATCAAATCTAGGTTGTACGAAGACCAAACGCTTTCACATCTGTTGTATTGGAATTAAATTACAAATTCTCTATTAATTATTAAAGGTGCAATAGAAGGCCATAAAAAATCATGTATACAGCATTCGCAATTAATTATATCCATACGTGCAGGACTAATCTTAATAATCATGTGAAAAATTACTATTTTGCATGCAGTTGATAACTCGACATTAAATTATTTATGGCAATTAAAAACTCTCAGATCTTTATAGAATGCTATCGGTAAAGTCAATCCACACTTTAATGAAAATAGGAAAGGGACGTAGATCGAGGGATGTCTTATATTACTATCTTTATTGTGATGATCACAACAGACTCCACTTTGTTTACGCGGTGTTTTGGATTCGTGTTCTCGATAAACGTCTTAGATAGAAAGACACATTTTTAATGACAACTACCCTCTTGTACCATGGTTCGCAAAAAATGTTTGAAAAATTCTTTCTTCTTACATTATTAATGTTTGTAACCATGATTTGTGTGACCGACGGTGTTTCCGGTGAGCGTCCCATTAGTTAAATAAAATTATTTGTCATAGCTGAAAGAAAAGCCAGGCAATAACACGTCATTATTACCAAACAGTAAACAGTGTATTCTACCTACTTTATTTACACTTTAAAGAGTACATGGTGTTAAATTTATTCTCTGACGTATCGAGAATCACCACGATGAAGATTTTACGTAGATTTACGACAGCATGCGTTTTCACTCGATTACATAGAAGACAATGTTTCCATACCTTCTTGGAGTGAAACTAAAGAATGGATATTCCTGACGATAAAAAGTTGTCGACAGTTGAAAGATGACTTGGTGGTTCGTTGCGTATTTATTGGGCACGAAAAACGCGCGATTAAAATACAACGTTAACATATTCCAAGCACCCGTAGCATAAATGATTTATACACATTTGACGACGGGCCACTGTGAGTAAGCAACAAAACGATTTTCCGTATTTTTTTCCTAACGCAACGAATCCTATTCTACACTTGGCTATAAACGCACGCGAGACGTTCTGCGCGTCCTACCTTCCTTTCTTTTTTTGTCTTTTAATCACCGAGGAATCGTACCTCCAAATCCATAAGGGTATTTTCACTTAAAGGCTTGATACAATCTCCACGTGCTGATACCGAGTGCCATCAAGGTAATGGTTGTGTGGAGTATCTTTCTTCTTCTGTCATCCTTACGGACGAGAAATGTAGGGGAAGAAGGACCCAGAACTGCTAGAAGCTCAACGTGGGGCAACTTACTAGTATCTGTTTCTACTTGGTACTGGCAGCATGGGTCAAATTGCCAGGAGACTGTGTACAGGCCACAGGTGATCACTGATGTGAAACCCAATGCACCGCAGATATATGGTCTATCACCCCAAATAAGACCTGAGAAAATGCAATGTAAAGATTATACATTGTGCAAGTGGAATGTCATAAGGAATGTTAAGAGTTACAAACCTGTGACCACTGATGCAAAACCTGATAATGCTGCTGTTTTGTGAAGACAGTTGCCGACTGCTATCCATCTAGATGTCTCATCCCCCAGTTTTGATGGTTCAATAACAATTAAACTACATTCTGCTTCAAGTGCTCTTTCCAATTCACATTCAAATGTTTCGTGAGCATTCTCACTGTCGTACACCTCCCGAATAATGGCAACATTTGCAGAGTCATCCCTGGGAAACAATAATAGATAAATTGTTTATAACTAATATTGTTAGTTCTTACACATTTACTTTCAGAAGAGAAACATTTATATAAGTAATGGCAAAGCAGAAACACTTGACATCATTACATTTTGCGATAATGTATATATCATATAATTGACAACTTTTGCATGCTATTAAACATATCAGGTATGATATATTAATGAGTTATATGTTTTCATATTATCTAAGGAAGATCTTGGTTTATCTCATGCATTTAAAGACAATGTATTATCTTCGAAGATCCTTTAATGTGAATAGTATAAAAATGTATTAATTGTTTCAATGTGCTTAACAAATGCTTCCTTTCTATTCTGCACAGATATATGTAATGCAGATATGAGTAATGAGTATCTAATAAATAATTGCAATCTTAATTAGAATTCTCTGTCATAAATGGTCTCTTTCAGATGTTATGTAAGATGTGGATTGAAACTTATCAATCTTGAGTTTGTTTGAATACAAATATACGACTAATATTACCGACGATATTTTAAGGTTATCCGATACCTTAATCATCCTGAATTATAAAAATACAGATACCAAGTCAAAATATTAGTTGGGGAAAGTGAACATCCAGAGGTACTTAATAACCGGTATGAAAATCATCGATATTGAAATAAACAAATTATAGCAAACAAAGCAGATAACTGACATACAAAATATTAAACAATATACGATCCTTTGATAGGATAATTAAATGAATTTTCTCAAAGGTAAAATATCCAGGGGAACTGGAACAGCACACTACGTCGATTATCATCAATAAATGCTAATGCGACAAATTTAACGTTAATCAGTATCTGTCTAGATATACTCTGAGTATGAATGGTTTCGCGCGCGTTCATTATGCCTGCCAGGTATCGTTAGTTTTTTATAAAAAGCCGAATGTAATTCCACCTACGAACCTGTCACCCGCTTCATCTACCATCTTTCTCGTCGGTCTCGCGAAACCTGGGAACGCTGGTACATGCGAAACGGAAGAAAACACTTGAACTACGAAACGGATATAAGGATCAGCTGATTCAAAGTGTTGTCTCTCAATGACTCATTCAGTCCTTACAAATATTCAAATGAAAAGTTGAAAAGCTTTACTGACAACAATCAGAATTTCCACAATCCTCACGTAATACTTATTTAATATAATTCCATAAAATTCGTCAATTAATAGTTACAATTTTATCGCACTAAGTGTACTAAACATAAAAACTGAATTGAGTCTAGTAGAATCTTTAAACGGTAACAAGATGGCGTGGTGAAGCTAAACTAAAAGAAATTTCTCCAATGCATCTATAGCCTCCGCGCGCATCTTACTCTTAAACGAGTTTCAACTTTCCACCCTTACAATTTTTCAACGCATTTTTGCACGTAACGGGTTCAGAAACGGTTCCACTTATTAATTATGCGAGTAATGCGTTGACCGAGCATGCAAAACGCTTTCCTTTTTAGGTTCGCTGCTTGATATTGCTGGGCGCATCCACAGTACCGTAAATCTCTCATAAAACCTAGACTTTGCACTTCAACTGTCATGAACTCATCATATTTCTTAATACGTCTCCAAACCCAGTAACAAAATTTACAATTAATAATCAATGTTCAACAGAATGGAAGAAAGGAAAGCATGAAAAATCCTCTAGAGTATTTTTCATTCTGGTCGCACGCACGATTCTTGTTTGAAATAAGGCGGCACTGCGCATTCGGGGTCAGGACTACTTTAACCGGCGCAAGGCTCCATACGCGGCTTAGTCTGCGTTCTGCGGTCTGGGCGGCGAGTTGAGCGCTGCCCATAGGACAGAATAAGAGTTAACGGACAGATCACAGATGGACGTGCACGCGAGTGTTCTGTCATGGAGCATCGCGACGTAAATATGCTCGATAATTGTCGCGTGAGTAACGTGCCGGGTTGCCAATCGGATAGCGACGACGGTTAATGGGTCGCGCGACTCTAACCTGCCATTGCCAGTGACATTTCGCGCAGTTCATTCGATACTCGTAATAACGCGGCTTTAAACACCGATTGTGACAGCGGGGTAATTACGTTCGCCACGTCCCTGCACCACGGGGAGCACAACGCTTTTCCTTTTTCATCCTTTAACTCAAGGTGCTTAGTTGGCACTCTTAAAACACGTGTTGGAAACTCAACGTGTACTGCTGTGTCTTGTAAAGATTTGGTGTACATCAAATATTGTTGAATATAAGGATAAACAGTAGGTTGATGTGTATTTAATTGACAGGTGGTTATATAGGTGCTTTTGAAACGTAGAGAGTATCATCGAGGCGATTTTTATAAAATCGGAGCTTTTATTCAACGATCGAACTTTCAAAAAGTTCCCGCTATTTGCGAACCCACGTGTTCCTGTTGATTTTTGCGTGGAAACACGAATATACAGGCTTTGGAACTATTATTGGTGCTACAGTGAGAAGAAATGAAAGAAGAGTGTCATGCGTACTGAGGGAGAAGTAAAAGACGGCCTGCAGATATACACTGCTTACAAGTTGTAAGCAAATATCAGAGCCTTGCTTCTCTTTACTCGTGTGGAACAGGAGGCAAGGACGTGTGTGCTAATGAAATACATATACGGGCGACAGAGAAGCACCGCGTGATATTGCTAAAGGCGACGTACCGAGGTGTAACGGGTCGTAAACAAATTTTGATGAGTTTACACTTTTCGCTCGCATCAAACGAAACAATCTTCGGGACGCACACGTTGTTGCATTTTACCGGGAGTGGCGAGATTTCGTGGTAATTAATGCAACTTTTATAAACACCAAAAGGAAGTCATCCGAAAAGGATAATTCTGGACATTCTACTTTTCCTTGATGACACCGGATAATCTCAAGGTCATAGGAGGAACTGTCGTTCCTCACGTGCTCGTATGAGGAGTATAAGAATTTCAGGAATTCCTCTTGATACTTTTGTGAGTCTGGCTTAAGGGCTATTTTGACCCAGAGGAACCAGACTGTATACAAGAGATAGTAGACGGTCGATTTGAGTACGTGGTTCCTTACTTTATCTGAGAGGAAGCCTTGGTTCAGGATTATCTTGGAATTCCAAGGTCAATTCTTAAAAAATTCTTTCAAGTCGCATCTACCGATCATTCTACAGAAGTTGACGATCCGGTACGAGCTCCATCCGCTGTTTGTTCAGGGCCGGTGAGCATGTCGCCGGGTTACTGAAAGCGTCCACCGCGATGTCAGGAGGATCCGCGGGTACTCGGGGCACCGGCGCCGAGTGCAGGAAGTTCGCACCGAATATATTCAACAAGAGCAAGTGCAGCAGCTGCTTCAAGCAGAAGGAGGAGCACAGCGCCGAGGCTTTGGAATGCAATAGGGTGAGTTTCGTTTGAGCGACGCTCTTTCTGTTACTCCGATGGAGGTTTTAGTTTCAGATTTAAAGATTGGAGGAGGATTGTTTGTGTACCTGACTAGGTCATATTTATGCTGAAAAATACTCCGTTCGAAATAGCGAACCCTTGCAGGAACGCCTTCGAAAAGAAAAGTTCACAGTGATAATTCTTATAGAAAGTAAAGCACGTACGTTCGACTGGAATTCGAGACTTCAATAATTCTGTCTAAATAGGATTCCCGTAGTAGAGAAGTTAATTTATCTCTTTGTCTTGTTTGAAAGAAAAATCGAATAGATTAGAAGGAACGAAAAAAAGGTGTAGGACAAAAATAGTCGTAACAAGGACCTTAGGTTACCTAGGCACCCTATCGGCCTGCTCCGCCTACCTCGACTACAGGGTACGCACGCTCAAGGTCTGGATCTTGTTTTGAACTTGTTTCGATTTGGAATGTAAGGGCTGCTTGAATAATCATCGCTGGTAAAGGATACGTCCCAGTCGTAGAGCAACGCGCACCGTCTTAGAGTATATAAGGGGGCATTACCCACGGAATTTAAAGGAAAAAAAAGGGATAATAATAGAAGACTCAAAAATCTTGTTGGCCTCAGGACGATTTTTATTAACGATCCCGGGTACAAGGAGCATCGCCGGTCAACCGGGTTGCGTGGAAGTAACTCCTCAGAGGAGCCTGAAGGCGCAAGGTAAAAACGTTAAAAATCAATCGACGCTCCGGGCAATGCGTGTCACCGCGTAAAAACGTCGGATGAAACGGTTCTTCGAAAATCTCAGCTAACCGATATACACGTATACACAGTCACCTGGTCATACTATTCATTCTCACGTAGTCTAACCAGAATAATGTTATTCCGTGATATTTCCTTTATTCCCTCTCCAGAACGTGTCAGTCTAATAGCACGTAGTCAGCAGGTCAGACGTAAAGGAATCATCGAAAGTTACAAACAAGACGTAATAGAAGCGACTTTATCTCTTTACACACGTTATAATCCCATCTGCTGCTAAATGGGAGAACACAGTTTCGACCCCCTCCCCCCTCTCTCTCTCTCTCACTACCGTCTCTCTAAATACTAAGCTTATCTTGCTGTTCTCTTGAATGCTCAGATCTTGATCTCGTTCAACTATCTTTGTATCTCATTGTCTTTATTTATCTCTCAGACGCCCACTGTCTTTCGCGTAGTCTATCTTTCTCTCTGACTTGGCCCAGGTTTTTTTTCCCTCTCTTTACGCCGTTGCAAATTTCGGAATGTCGGCAGCCTTGCGACCTGTTCCCGGTGCATTCCAACCGCCTTCGTTGCCCTCGCCGAGTGGTCCGAAGTCGTTGGCTTGGTTGGTTGCCTGCTTGCGTGGTTGCGTGGTTGCGTGGTTGCGGTATCTCTTCTGTATCGGCCGTACCCTAGCGTCTCTCTCTCTCCCTCCTCCTCCTGCTTCAACTCTCCTTCCTTATTCCCCTCGCACTCTCGTTGCCCCGTACTCTCTCTGTCTCCTCTCCATCCCCACGAATCCGAGGCTGTCCCTCTGCCATTTCTCTCCCGCATGCACCTTCATAATTCGACGCAGCGTGGACGAGCCGGACGATTTAAAAAGGCCGGCCTCCGGTCCCTACCGAAAGCTTCTTCAAGAGGGAGACAGACGCCATTATCGACGTACACTCCAGGATAGTTGATGGTAGTCCCGAACCTTCTCGCGGATCATTCGCGATAAGGCCCATCACGAAATGAGACTTTTTCATCGGTCTGTAAAAGAGAAGCCTTAAACGAAATGGACCGACGTTAATGTGTACCTTTATTTAACATCCTTATCTCTTCCAGGAATCCGTCTTTAGGAACACGGAAGGCGCTGTACTGGAATGCCGTAACGCATTCGCATATGCGTATCCACATGAATCTTTATATACCTTAACTTGTATTAAACGATCCGAATGAAACGAGCAATCCATTCGTTGCACCGTGAACTTCATACTGCAGTATCATCGCAGCTTCCCGATCAGACATAATCCTTTGGTGAATCTCAGTACGATACTTGGACACGGTTGGTTATCGGGCTTGATTGCCGGTGCCAGTTGGTAGAAGAATTCACGGTTTTACAATTCGTCGGCTTCGATGTGTGTTAGCAGCTCTACGGCCAATTGCGTAATGGCTGTCGGGGGGGCTCCCTTCAACGTCACTACCGACGTTGCCTTCTTCGATTTATTCCACTCGCCGACAAAACTTTAATCCTGAATGACACGAGGCGTACGTTCCGTCCCGGTATACGAATTGCGTAAACGGCCTCGCGTGTATACGATGTCGCTTGCTGTCTTTCCACTCGACTTTTTTCTTCATTTCTTTTATTTCCTCGACCTCTTCTCGACAAGCACTAACGCGTGTTACATATTTACCTACATGCCGATGATTACAGCGCTTCCTTTCTTTCGTTAGAAAGTACTCACGATCACGATCACCATCTTATTCCTCCAGATCGTGGATTGTAAGCTGCCGTCGGCAGGAAAAATCGTGTACTTCCGCCGGAAGGCTGCGTGAATAGAAATCTTGATCTCCCTGCTAAGAAATGTCTCCACCGATATCGCTATCGCTGTCATAAACAGTGCGATACAACGTTGCACGACTCTGGCGCCTCTTGGCAACTGCAATAACATTTCCTTCCCTCCCGCACATGTGCAGGACGTCTACTATGCAATACCTGCAACATGCTCGAACTATACGTTCTACCTGACGCGCGAGCATTGCTTCCTGACCGTAAGCGTAACCGTAACTGCAGTTGTGTGCACTTCGCGTCCCGCAGGAGTACTCGGCCGTAAAGACGCATTGGACTCTATAAAAGTAGAGGCCGACTCATTTCGTTTAATGCACGTGGACGTATCAGATTGTAACGGTAACGCGCCGAGAAGGTGTCTAGACTGCGATGCAACCAAAAGAATTCACGAGGACGAGCTTAATGGGATTTTTATTATTTCAATCAACTCGAACTTTAGAATCGTGTCGTCGGGGAACGTGGATACTTTTATTTGATGGTAAAACAGATTTCCGACAGGCTTCTCGAATCTGGTACTGGGTCGGTAAAAAAGGGGTCGTTACCGTGGCGAAGGAGGAATACGGACCCTTTGACGTGTAGACTGCCTTAGGGTGTCGTTTCTTATTATTGAGGGGTCGCTGAGTAACGTGCGAAATCTTATCGTGAATCATTGCAGAAAAAAGGCGGAGGATCCTACGGCAAAACTTTTTGCACGGTGATTCACCGTAAGTACCGCGCCTTCGTCATGCATTCAAAGGTCACTTCGGTAAAGGTATGAATTGTCTTCTGTCAAAATTATTAATGAGCACGTTGCCTTTTACACCTAAGCAAATAATAATGTCAATCTTTGTTAGCTTACGGAAGCGTATTATCTACCCGTATTTATACCGCGCATAGTCTTATCGCTTTTCATACACGTAGCTTTTCTTCGGTCTCTCTCGTCTCCCTCTTCTTTCTCTCCATCTCATTCTCATTCGTTAAGTATTTTCCTGTAGCGAGAACGCGTGTCTCGCGCGATATCTTCTCCAGCGATTCTTCTTCTCGCCAGGCATTACGCGCGCTCGCTATTACGGTGACAATAAAGATGTCACCGCGTAATTATACCGGGTGATTCATCCGCCTGGTAACCGAGACGCTTTATGGAAGCTTCCCCCGAGTTACGTATAGGCAGGTACCATAGGGCCGATTCGCACGTGCCAGGTACTGGGGGCGCCATTCTCGGTCTCTCTCTCTTTCTCTCTTTCTCTCTCTCTCTCTCTCTCTCTCTCTCTTTCTTTTTTTTTTTTCTTTCTTTTTTTCTCTCTCTCTCTCTCTCTCTCTCTCTCTCTCTCTCTCTCTCTCTCTCTCTCTCTCTCTCTCTCTCTCTCTCTCTCTCTCTCTCTCTCTCTCTTTCTTTCGGTTTTTTCTGTCTTTCGTTTTCTCGCTCTCTCTTTCGCTCGCGGTTCGATCAGCCATTCTTTTCGCCAACAAACCCGTCTCCGTGTTTAAGAATTTCGGACTCCACCGACCTGGACTAACGCTCTTCAGTCTCACGGCTCGTGTTCCCTTATACCATATGCATTCCCGTAACAGAGGTACCGATTGCTATGGGTTTTTAACTCGGTATTTTCCAGCTGCCCAATCGAGTTACAAACTTACAACTAACGAGCCGTTCCTGACTGAGAGATACCCTTTCGAATTATTACCTGGTACAGAATCGCTCGTACCATCCTTTTATGTATTATAATACATACATACATATGTATAGTATATAGCAGCGACTTCTGAACCGTAGGCGCAGGTTACGGAAGCGTTTATCCACGGCTGTGTAATATAAGCCCGAGTTCATATTTCGCGTATCTTTCATGTCGCGTGCATCGACGAATAATAACTTCACATTGGCAATCGAAACTTGGTAACGTCAGGTGCTATTGATACTCGATGATGAATAACAAAAAGTAAGTCCAGTCTTTCCACATCAGCATGCAAGTCTCCGCCACGAGCCAAGAATTTTGGGCTTGTCCCTCTCTGCACTTTGGTGGATCCATTGACCCCTGTATATAAGCGTACAATTCTTTTCCATGCCGTCACGTCAAAGTTCCTCCATTGTCGAACGTCCAGTGTATTTATTTTGGTTAGAACGATGGCCGAGCCGGTCTCCATAAGTTCTCTGTCGTAAATACTGTTACTTCTCGTTCGTTATCCGCCATTGGATAACCGTATGTACATACTCATCGGCTTTCGATTTCTAATCAACGCCACAATAACAATAGAGTATCATTAGAAATGACTTGAGCGATGTCCATTGTGCCTGGTCGATAGATTGATCGAGTCTCGGATTTATGCCGCGTCGGGCCGGCTAATAATAATAATAATATGGTTATCTTAAGTCCCTGGCAAATACACGATATACCCATACTCGATATTCTCATTGAAGAAAATGGAGCGTTTATCTTCCTGTAAGATATGGACGTGCCAGG